AATGCCATTGAAGTCAATGGGACAGATCCTATACAGCTATGCTGTGTTAAATATGCTCTAAAGAAGACACTGTTTCACAGACTGTTTTGTGACGGACAGTTTATTTTCCCATCATTGTTCAGAGTTATAGCACCAGTGCTGTCGATTAAATGGGGTTGCATGACTGGACACATCAAACTGCAGGAGTGGGATGGAAGAGGATGGTGATGGAAGGGAAGTTAGGAAGGGTGACAGTTGTACAGTGCCATCTCTTTATTTTCCAAGTGCATTAGTGCTACAATTCCTTTCAATTGTGCTGGTAAGTCTTAAAATGCATTCTCTTCTGCTCCCTGTATTCAGTTATGCCCGGGCACAGTTTGCTTGATGAGGGGTCCCATTTTTTAAAAGCCACCAATAGCACCCCATGAGGATTCCATGGAAAATATGATAAAACTGCCTAGGCACCCCAGTGGTGGGATGGATATATGGGGTCTGGAGCTATTGCTTGCAATGTCAAATTCTTTTGATCTACTGCATCTGGTCTGCCTCCTTTAACCTTTCCTGAAAGACAGGAATTTGCTCGGTCATCCGTACATCTGCGTCAGCAGTGACGTGGTTAGAGCAAATCCCAACTCAGCCATGAGGTTCACTGGGTGACCTTGGGTCAGCCACTGTCAGACTAATCTACTTCATAGGGTTGTTGTGAGCATAACCATATATGTTGTCTTGAACTGCTTGTAGGCTATACCTGTAATTTTTTTAAAATGGCAACCTAAATGATTGATAAATGCAGCACATTTCATGTGCAAAGCTTCCTGAAGGGTTTGGAAACTGCAGCTAGTGTAGATTTTTTGACAGTGAAATCATGAGACTTCTTTTAAGCCATGCTGCCTAGCTCTGGATTTAAAGGCAACATTCCAGCATATCTTGGGAAGTATATTATCCTGTAGTGTGAAATTGTTCCCGTACCCAAGTCAGACATTCTATATCAGGCATAGGTAAACTCGGCCCTCCAGATGTTTTGAGACTACAATTCCCATCATCCTTGACCACTTGTCCTGTTAGCTAGGGATCATGGGAGTTGTAGGCCAAAGTTTGCCTTCCTGTTCTATATAATGGTCCGTCTCCCCTCCCCACCTCCTTTGGAAACGTAATGGCGCTTTTTTATTCCAGCACTTCCTAATGCTGATCTGCTGTCAGTTGTTATGTTTTTAGATAACAGTGTTAGAGGGATTTGTTGGGGTTTTAAAATGTTTAGTGTTTGAGGCTGGAAGTAGTCTTGATTTTATATTATAGAAGATAAGGCATATAATGTTCTACAGATTCAAAAAGAATTAAACCATAATACAGTTCCAATAGCTCAAACAACACAATAATCTGCATAGGTTCCTTCAGCAAGTGCTGTTTTTGGGGGAGTTCTAGGATAATCAACAATTTTAATTGGTGCAGTTAGACCAGCCTTCCCTAATCTGGTGATGCCCAAGTATTGTTGGACTTCAGCTCCCATGAACCCCAGCCAGCACAGTCAGTGGTTGGGGTTGATGGAAGTTGTAGTCTAAAGCCTCTGAGAAAGAAGGTAGATACTGCTGCCTTCCCCAGCACTTCTCATATTGGATAGCTTTAGCATACTCAGGAATCAAAAGTTTTGTGTCTCATTTGTAGAAAAAGTATACTTTTCTGTGCATTATGCAATTTCCATTTGGGGTGTAATTTTGTGTCAGGTAGTCTCTCTCTCCCATCTCACTCCCTGCTGTTTGAACTCCACTGCCTCTATAGAAACAGTGCATATTTATATCAATGTGTGTGTGTGGGGGGGGGGACTGCACACCTGAGGCTGAACAAATGATCCATTGCAAGGGGCTCGCATTTCCTTTTGTGGGTTAGTCCCATTGCACAGAGAGGAAAGAAACGAAGCAGTGGTGGCATGTGTGGTGCAGCAGAGCTGCACAGATGCCCTTTGAACACTGGCTTCTCTGCTGGAATGGCTGTGGTGTCAGGGTTGTGCGCTTGCAGTGGCAGGACTGCTGCCACCACCAATCTGGCGTTCCCACCTGTACAAAGAGTACTGCTACTGGGGGGTGGAAAAGAAGAACTGGAATTGCTGGGACTGTACTGTGTTGCTGAAAGCAAAAAACAAAGCTTCTGTGTGGTGTTTTACTGGGACCCTTGCATGTATTACATGGTGTACTTTTGAGTCACATTTGACACATCACATGTTGGGCACTGAGCGTGTGAGCTGTATTTAAGCTCAAGCAGCGATGATGCAACACAGATGGTTATATCTGTATTCTAAAGTGGAACACAGCCTCATTTGTACAGTCATTGTTTAGCAATCTAAGATGATGTAGTAATCGGTGAACTGAAATAATATTTTAATTCCTGCGTGGGTAATATGGTGTTATAAAGCCCAGCGAACTCTTTGTTGTTCTTTAAGTACAGATCATTCTGCAGTACTCAGGTTGTTTGTTCCTTGTTTTTCTCCCCTTAAGAGACTAAGTTTGAAGTAATTGGTTCTCCTCTGCAGCTCATACAGCATCTTTCAATATCTTACAGTCACAGAATCCTTGATGAAAAACAGAGTTGGCTGGCACATTTTCCTCTGATGTGTGTTAGTTTTGTTGGATCTTTGACAAGGAACACTTTTATTCATTTAAATGACTTGGAATAATTGACATACAAGTTTATGGGCCTCTGGGGAGCTTTGCTTAAAGGTTACCACTTTGAGAAAGAAAGCCAATTACAGAATACATGCCTACCTCGCCTGATTCACTTCTCTTTCTAGTTTTGTGTGTGTGTGTGTGTGTGTGTGTGTGTGAGAGAGAGAGAGAGAGAGAGAGAGAGATCTATTTATCTATCTGAGAGAGAGAGAGTATAAGTTTCTCCTCTTCTCATTTACATTCCCTGGATTACACACTTATTATGTGTCATTGGGTTCCCCCAATACGTTTTGCATGTTCAATATTCATTTTTATTTAGTATTAATAGGTTAAAACCCAGACACAAATGCATATTTCCAAAAGTACTGTGAGCCATGAAGCAGTGGAAAAGACAAAGAGTAAAATTTCTCATTCTATGGGGTGATGTTGCATATTCATATAAAATGGCATGCTCAGTGCACCAAAATAAAAGCATGTGGGGAAAAAATATGTAATTTCAAGAGGATCAAGTTCTGTGCTCTCAGACTCCATATTCCTATTCTCTCTCTCTCTCCCCCACCCGACCCCATCCCTCTGCCCTCTCTGACCTCTGAGACACTTCTCCTCAGTAACTCCCTTTTCCAGCCAGATCTAGTCCCCTTTCCCTTCCACACTGCTTTCCCTCCTATGCTCTCTATCACTCTGCTTTCTCTCCTGCTGTTCACACGCTAACCTTTCAGCTCTGGAAAGTGCCTTTTTTGTAGCTGCTGTGGAGCAGTGGAATTTGCTGTTTCTAGAAATGCCTAACTGTGCCAGCCTCCTCTACTTTTCTCTGTCTATTTATTTATTTAAACAACTTATATAACATTTAATTACAGTTGTCCCTAAGCAGTGCACAAGTAACTCAGGTTGCTGCTGTTTTTAAAGGGAAACCTCCCCCCTACCAGTCAAAACTAGAAATAAAATAAAATTAAATTAAAATGTCCACAGCACCAGAAGTGCAATAGGAAGGGGTCTGTCTGATCTCAGCTGGAGAGGATCAAATGAGGAGGGGGAGAACTGTATATGGCATCTTGTTCTTCTTGGAGAAAAAGGTGTTGTATAAATGCAATAAATAAATAATTGCTTAGTGTTTACTATTCTTAATGCGTGAATTGTGTTGCAGGACTGTTTTTATTGACATGTTTACATTGTTTTGGGTCGTGGTGGTGGTACATAGTGCCTAATGTTTTCCACACACAACTGATTCTGATCCCAATGACTTCAGTGACCAAATGTCTGTGGACTCTGATAGAAACAAGAATAGAGTCAGTCACAGAACAGAATACATTCCCTGGACTGCTCTCCTGCGATAGTGCAGAGAGATGCTACAGGGTGACTGATGAGCATATAATATTAGTTTAAACAGTTAAAATGACCACACACAACAAACATTATGGGAAGAGAAACTGAGACCATATGTTCCAAAGAAGCACCATCAGACCAAATGGAAAAACAAAGTGTCCTCCCTTGGCTGTTTCCATTGAGCTGGGAAGTCATGTTAAGAATAACCATATTTGTCTCCCTCTGCTCTCCTCACCTTTCCTCGTACAGAGGATATTTTGAAGAACAGGATAAATCAACCTTTGCATTTTTCTGTTTTCATTTTTTCTCCAGAAGAAATGCCGCAGCTTTTTCAATATACACTAAAGATTTTGGCACAGCAGGATTCTTTTAAAATCTCAATTTAAAAAGGACAATAGCAATCGCCCTCAGCAAATGTTGTTCTCCTTTAAAACATAAGACTCACATCCAGACCCAAACCCTGCAGCGGCACACAATTCCTGCCTTGCCCTGGTATTGGAGTGTAGGTGAGAGAATTAAGTCATGTATGCCACGTCATTGATCGCTATAGAAATGAAGAGAATTGTGTGGATAATAACATGCTGCAAAGTGTTTCTGGTGCGTGGTTAATGCACTGGCACATTATTGTGTGCGTGTTTCTGTTCAGCTTGTCGCTTGCACTGTGTGGCTGTTGTGCATTCCATTTGTGTTTATGCTTCGTGCATGTTGTCTAGTCATGCCTTCCTCTGCAACACTTTGGCCCAGTACCTTGTACCAACTAGGCCTTGGTTGCTAAGGGTAACCAGCTAAGCATAAGAACCTTTGAGCTGTTTTGTTGCCTAGCTAAAAGGAAAACACTTAGCTTTTCCATTTATTCGCCCTACACAGATTTGCATCTCTTTGTTCAGACATGCACACACTGAAACACTATTACCGGTAGAATACCCCTTTTTTAAAGTTTGAATCCAAACAAGGACTGTAATACATGTTGCACAACTCTCATGCACCATAAAACAAGCAAGCTGCGTCAAAGTATTGCTTTGTTAATCAGTAGCCAGTATGCCACACAACGCCAGCTGTAAATACCCAGTTACAATAAATTAAAACATAGGGAGTGAAGTCATTGCAAAAGGGGGGGGGGGAAGCAGTCCTTGACAAACTGGCTTCACTGTTAAGCAGCAGTCCAGCAGTTCACATTTCCCACCCACGCCCTGAGTATCATTATCTGTATACTGTGGTAATTGAGTCTGGAGGCACATTTATGGATGCTTTGACTGCTTGGGCTGCAGTTAAAGGAGTAACATATTCAGTCTACCTACCTCAGTGGTGAACCTTTTGGCGTTGCAATGCCATAGCCTTTGGAATCCAAGTTACCTCCCACCTTCATGGTGTCACATGGCTTTCTCTGCTCAATGTACTCATTCATGGTAGACTCTAGCAGGTAGGCATACTTCCCTTTGGATCTCCTCACACGCTTCATCCCCTCTTCTGTTGTCGGCACGAAAACAGAGGGCTCAGCTGACTTCATGTACGTCCACATCTTCTCAAAAACCGCTATTTTAGATCTCTGTCCAGAATAGCATAAATCCACTGCTCTTAGCATGTGTTAATAGAGCAGAGATTCATACACCAAGGAAGACACACATTTTGCTGGGCTGCGTGCCCACACATTGCATAGGTAGGGAGAAGAAAGGACGCGGGGCTGGGGGCTGATTCATAGAGGTGAATGGCCTCCACACAATCCCTGCCAATAGGTGGTGAGTATGGGGCGAAACATATTGCATGGATTGTTGGCGCTACGCAGCTAGGCCTCTGCTGTTGTTTCTGTGATTGCAAGGGCACCTTTTAGGGAACAAGAACTAGGCTGAATGGAATGAAAGAGGGATTTGCAGCTAAAGATGCAAATACTTTGGCAAAATACTAGGAACTAGGCTAGGAACACAACTCCTACAACTAGCACTGCATTGAGGCCATTGATCAGTGGCAGAATACATGATATGTACTGCAGAAGGTTCAAGGTTCAATCACTGGAATCGCCAGTAATTGTGAACTGGTATATCAGGGCTGGGAAAGACTTCCGAAAACCTGTTGCGGGTAGACAGTATTCCAATGGCCGGATTCAATATTACACAGCCTCATGTGATGAACAGTAGGAGCGATTGAAGTGTCACATTTGCACTGCACTCCATAAATGGAGTGGGCTGGCTGAGGGAAGTGAGAAACAGGGGGCATTAGACCATTGAAAGGAAGTGCACTTTGGAGGAGGGGGGCCTTGCTACATAAGCTCCCCTTGAGTGTAACACCAATGTATTTACATCGGGCAAATGGTACCATTAAATTACAGAGCTAACCAAGTACTTATTATTCTCTAAACCTGAGCTGCAAGTCACAGGGTAATTACTTTTGATGCTGCTAAGTGTAATTACTCAGTAATCTGTGGAAGCGTGTAATTATGCCGTGCTTCTGGAGTATTTATGGTATCTGGCAGACCCCGCGTGTGCTGCATTTCCTGAGCTAGCACGAGACTCTTGCTTTTGTATAGTGAAGTCAGAACTAATTTCTCTTACCCTAAAGAATTCTTTAGTAGACCCAGCATCCAGAGTCCCATAAGCAATCTCTGTTTGCTTGGCCAAGTCTTCTGCACTCTCTATGGGAGACACCATCCTCTCTACTGTCAAGAACGCAGCTAGATTGGCAGTGTAAGAAGAGATGATGATCAAGGTGAAAAACCACCAGACCCCACCAACTATACGCCCAGACAGAGATCTGCAGGAAAAGGGAAAAAGAAAGAGTGAAGGTAAATTTAAAGGAGAGGAGTAGAAAATAATAAGAGTGCAACACACAAAGCTCTGCTTTTGCACAAGCATTAGTTTTTGTGCACTGTTTAGTTTTAAAAGGTATAAATGTGCATGCCTGAGGTTATATTAAAAGGTTCCAATCACTAGCACCTATCGTATCTTGTCAAATTTCACCTGTGAGGCCACCTTCCTATATAATGATCAGCACGTGGAGGCCCCTTGAGAGAACAACTGTTCAATGGCAGCTTACTATGTAAATAAACCACTTCTGTGTGTCTTGCCTCTACACAGATCCTAAAACATGTCACTTTCATAGATGCATGAGGACAAATTACACGACAAGCTTACGAAAAGCAGCTCCACACAAATGATCTTGGCCTGAACAATCAACAGCTGATGAAAGCAACAATAGATTTCAGGAGGAACTTGCAACTAGCATGCCTTTCCCTAATGGTTTTATGTCCACTGAAGTTGGACTAGCATGTGAAGAATATCACCATAACAATAGCGAAGGACCCAAACACTGGAATTACCAAGAAGAAAAGTTATGGGGTTGCCATCGATGGCAGAAGACAGGAAAGGGAGGCCTCCTGTACCTTGAAGCTTGAATCATAGAGTTGGAAGGGATCGTGAGGATCATGTAGTCCAACCCCTTGCAATGCAGGAATCTTTCACCCAATGTGGGGGGTCAAACCCACAACCCTGAGATTAAGAGTCTTATGCACTACTGACTGAGCAAACCTTCTGTGGAGAGCCTTCTGAACCTGGGTCTCCATGTGTGCAAGAAGTTGCTTCTTCTTTTTAATAGCTGAGATTTGTTTAATAATAATTTTCATTAATAATTGTCATTTTATGACTTTGATATAAAATCCAGAACTGTAATTAATCCTAGGGATGATGAAGCAGTAGTGGTTGAAAGGGCAAGTTAATTCACATCCATTGCATGGCACAGATAGGAGCTAAAGGGCTTAGCCCTGCACTGTGTAGGTGAATGGTAAAAGCACCCTCCCACGCCATTCCTCTGCTCAGCCCATTACGAAATTGCCAATAGCAGCTCTAGCTATAAAAAGGGAAACGTTGCATTCACACAAGAAGCAACAGCAGTGACATTTCGTCGTCTGTGCCACTTGGTAGCTGGAGTGTCACGATCATGAAGGAACTAGCTGCCCACGTTCCTGAAAAGTTCCTGCGAACTGATATTTGTGACTTAACAGTTGGAAAAATCACACCCTGTTCTAGTTAATCCAGCTCGTAGGAAGTGCACACTGTAGGAACCACCAAGACCTAAGCATCGTGCTGGTTTATTTTGATTTGTTTATTTATTAAATTTCTATACTGCCCATTCAGCTGAGGATCACAGGGTGGCTTGCGATACAAAACACAAAAATACATACCATAGTAACAAACAAAAACAATACCCTACTAAACGCTATAGATGGTTCAATTAGTCAAAGGCCTGGGAGAAGAGGAACGTTTTTGCCTGGCACCAAAAGATATGCAATGAAGGCACCAGGTGAGCCTCCCTGCTGGTCTAGTTCGAGGTGAATGACAAGCATAGAATTTAAAGATGGCTTTGCCATTTGCATGATGGGCATAGCCAGGAAGTCAAGCTCTGGATCAGCCATGCATTTTGCCTTGTGCCTCTCACTCCATGCTTCAGGTGGGCTGTCCAACTTTTTTTTTTAAGCACCACATTTGTGTTCATTCATTGACATGTCACCTGTCACCTCATCCTTGTTGTTTCTCTAATAAACCTTGCAACTATTAAAATGAAGAGTATCTGCTGCAGGGAAAGGTATGTTGCAGTGCTATACTAGCTGTGTCTAATAACTCAATGTGTAAAATTGCTCATAATGTTAAGCCAAAAGCTATTAGTATGAAATACTGTGCATTCCACTTCTCTTCTGCTTGTGCACAACTGGGTAAACAAACAATGAAGAATTTAGCTTGGTGTGGCATCCAAACCCAGGGTTGCAATTGGTTTCATGCTAACAAACACTGACTTATTGTTGGTTTATCAAATGTGGTCTTGCAGCAAAATTGACGTTTGTGGAATGTTGATTGCAACCTTGGGACTAAAGCTGCTCCTAGCACAAGATAAGGTACAAGGCCTCTAGCCTGGCTAGTTAGCTGAGTTTATAGGTCTCTATGTGCATCAGTCTGTTAGAGCAGAAAAAGCTATGACCATGAGTTGAGACCTCTTAAGCAAAACCCTTCATGAGTCATTCACACACATCTGATGCTAACTAATAACTTAGTACACAATAGTTTATGGATGAGCATCACATGTAGCCGATGAGATTTATTTCCAGGAAAGTGTGTGTACAGGACTGCAGCCCTAGGGATGTGAAGATTTCTAGCCATCCATAGCTAGCTTTTCCCCAGTTAAAAACCAACCATACTGCAGAACTAGGTTTTCAGAGCTTGCTGTAGAAGAGGAAACCAATGCATTTTAGCTGATCCCCACTATTTTAAAATGTTAAAACGGACTTGCTCCTTACACTATGCATTGTTTTTACATCATACTAAACTCTGCATTTAAATATTGCATCTAAACTCTGGTGCAGCTTCCAAACATGATGCAGTCACCTTCTTTATATCCGCTTGATTTGAAATCCTTTTAGACAAATGCAACTGGTCAGCTAGAGAGAGAGAGAGAGTGCAAGGGAGAGGGAGAGATGGTGATGGAAATCAGAGAGAACACATGCCCAGTGGCAAATCCATCCTGAATAAATGTGAAACTTTTAGTTTTGTCTGAAACTGGGGAAATGGAAAAATGACTATCTCATCGCAAGTCCAGATGCTGCATTTGGTTTTGAATTCTTAGAAGAAAGACTCTAAGCGTCCAGGATTCACAAATACCAGTTGTCAAGGAATGTGGCCAGAGCTTAAAAAAGATATAATGATGGCAGACTAGCAAATACGTTGAGGAACTAAGAATAGAATAATGTGGTGCCAGCTGCTGGGTCTCTATAGATGCCACTTGGACAAGTCACTTAGCCCTCTACACTCCGAACCTGCAAACACCCTGCTAGCACACAGGCCAGAGTTTTTCTAACTCATTTTGTGCCATTGTTGAGGCTCTCAAGGACTTGCTCTCACTACTTCTCTACACCTTCTGTCACCTCAGCACTTGCCCCAAATGTCAAATGCTTTGAATACATGGATATATTATGCAAAGTTGCATAAATAAAGTCAAACTGCATAAGTGTATCCATTAGATAGGATAGACAGATTGGCCTGCATAGTTCATATCAATAGATAAATCTGAACATTTCCACTGCTGCCCTCTTTGCTCCTTTCTTATCTTCTGGGCCCAAGACCTCTAAAGTTCACTGCCTGCCCACTTTCCCTCAGTCCTCACTGGCTTCCTCTTCTCCCCTCTTTTCCCCTGGCATCTGTCTCATCCACCACCTCTCCTTCATATACCTGCTTCTCATTCCGCTGCAGACTCTGTCCCTTAGATGGCCGTGTGTTCTAATTTACAGAGGAAAGTCCTCTGTTTGAAGTCTGCTTTAAAGATAAAGAACTCTAAGAAGAAAGAGCAGCATGGACCTTGAAGCTGCCTATCAAATGTTGGCAGACTGAGCAGGCACACAGGCCAACACCAGTCACTGTCTTCTCCCCCATGGTGAGATGCATTGTATTTCTATTTAAATCATAATAATTATTTCTAAATTTGCATCTCAACATATTCACATTTTATGCAGGTTCTATGTCCACTTTTTTGGTGAGGAATCAGGGGCTGTTCTATCTGCACCCTCCTTCTGCTTGCAGCTCAGTCTCTTGATTCCTCTCCTGTTTGATTTTTCCATCTCTCTGCCTCCTTCCTGCTTCCCCTCCCATTTCCTGTCAACTGGAAGCACTTGTAGCAAGCGCAGAGGCACCAAACAAGAATAACTGGCTAGTGTTTAATGCCATCATTTCTGCTGATGACGGCCACTTCAATCTGACAAGCTGCATTTGCATGCCAAATAATCATATTCATCTCCAGCTGCAAATTATACAGCTTTTCTCCTTTTTGAGAAGCCAAGATATTTTTATGACTTAAATTCCCACAGCTGCAGTTAACTAAATCCCAGCCTTTAGACCTTAGTCATGGTTTTCTTAGTCTTAATCACTGAACACCCCGGGGGGGGGGGGGCAACTGCCTGTCAGTTATATTGATGGCTCACGCTACCAGATTGTATATTGCTGTCATTACTTAGGGGTGAGAGGAGGGGGGATGGGGGAGCGCTGTGGACAGTTGGGCTTGGCTTGTTAATTTTGGTTTTGAATAGCTCAGTGATACATAATCAGATGCTGAACCATCATGTAAGCTATTTCCCCCTACTAAGAGTTAAACAATCCTACATTAAAAATCTACAATGTTCAATGTCACATTCAATGAAAGGCATGAGTCGTGTGGAGATATCTTGGAGCGGGTGGTTGGATGGTGGGCAGCAATGGAGGAGAAATGGAAGAGGCTGACCTTAGCGGGTTGGGGGATGGGAAACTGGAACCCAAGGAGAACTCTGAACTGGGAGAGGGTCCCAGTGAATTGGGAGGTGGGGAGATATGGATCCATGAGAAGGGTCTAATGCAGCCTTTCTCAACCTGTGAGTCCCCAGATGTTGTTGAACTACAACTCCCATCACCCCTAGCTAGCAAGGCCAGAGCTCAGGGATGTTGGGAGTTGTAGTCCAACAACATCTGGGGATCCACAGGTTGAGAACTGCTGGTCTAATGGGCTTTCAGGAGAGTGGTCTGCCCACGCAATATCTGACAGCCCAAGTGCAACATCACCAGCCATTGATGTGACTTTGCTGCCTTCCTTTGCCACCAAAGAGCCTCGCCCCCTTTCTTGGGTGGCACTTGGGACAAATCCAATAGTGAGCTGGCTCCATCGACTCCACCTTCACCTCCAGAGATGCAGTGGTGACAGTGCTACTGCAAACAAGTCCTACATGTACAGCGTCTACCAAGGAGTACCTATTTACTTGCCTAGCCTGAGGCAGGGGACATCAACTGTGCAAATAACTGTGCCCGTCCCACTCTTCAAAATGAGAGCACAGGGGGAATGCCAAGGGTTGGATCAACATCTTCACACTAGCCATGTGTCTTAGATCTCTGTCATGCCTTATCAGTTTGTAGCCTGTAGACCCATAGTGAGATGCTATATACTGACTTCATACATAAAAGTGTTAAAACTTCCAACTATGGTGGTAGCTTTAGTTTTGAATCTGACAAGGAGAACCCATGGGAAAAAGATGGTACACTCATGAAATGCTAAACCATTATATTGCAACCAACCTGTATTTTAGATATGTTGGGGGCAAGTTTAGTCTGAACCCTAGTGGCAACATTGAACACACATTTCCCCCTTTCCTAATATTAATTTTTAAACAAACAAACAAACACATTGCTCAGCAGATTCTGATTAGCTAGCCAACATGAGAATGTATGTTCGTATGTATGTATGCATGTACGTACGTATGTATGTTCGTATGTATGCATGTACTGTACATCTACACACATAACCATCCTGGGTACTTTGCTGATATTTAATACATTTTCTTTTGAAGGCATCTTAATTGATGGAGGAACAGAGGGATTTCCTCCGCTTGTGGTACACTAAGGATTTGGGTGTGTTTTCCCCTGCATGCAGAAAAAAGTTTCATTTGCCCTGCATCTATAGCCTGAGGTCTGAATCTTTCTGCATTGGGTAATCCCACCACTCTTGAAACCTAAGGTTTACCTGCTTTGTGTCACAATAGAAGATGCAATGCTGTTTCCTTCTAAGCACTTTGTTCATTAGAGAATAATTATTATCTTCAGCTCAGCTTAGTACTGTACTCCCAAACCACAGTGTCATAAATCTTGACATTTGGATTTGTGCACCTGCCCTTTAGATTTATTCTCTTTCATTGACATAGTGGGTGTTTGGAATAAGGAGGATCTTTTTTCATAGAATCAGATCTATGGAAGCAATAAGCGGAGGTGCAGTTGTGCAGAGGAAAGCTTTAATTAATGTTTGGATAACTCAATGTGTGTGTGGTGGTGGTGGGGAGAGCAAAGGACCTCTTCTGATGAAATCACCAGATGGTTCTTGCACATTATTAAATTTGCTATGTTAGGAAACAGACATCTCTCATTGGGTTGCCCACCTTTTTCTTTTTCTTTTTACTGCTCCTGTGCCTTTAACGGCAGCTTGATCTGCCAGCGTTAACACATGGTGATTCATTTAAAGAAATAAGAAGAGTTATGTGGGATCAGTCCAGCATCCTGTTCTCACAGTGATTAGCCGGATGCCTATGGGAAGCCTGAAAGCAGGATCTGAGTGTAACAGCACTTTCCCCTCTTACATTTCCCACCAACTGATATTCAGTGGTCCAATGCCTCTGTCCACCATGAATTTAATCCTCTTTGAAAGCTATCCAGGTGGTGGCCATCACTAGTGGGATGTAGTTCCATAGTTTAATGCTCTGTGAAGCACTTTTCTTTTGTTTGTCCTGAACCCTCAAACATTCAGCTTAACTGCATGGCAATAATCTCTAGTATAATTGTCATACTATGAAAAACCTTCATCTGATCATTTTTATGGATCAAGTAGCTGTTAAAGGCATAAACACAGGTGATGCTGGTCAGTCGGCAACCCTGTCCTCATGCCTCTTCTTCAACTCTTTTTGGTTGAAAAATGGGAATTAGGGATTTCATAACTTTTTGTATCTATGCAGACTAGTTAAAAAACGCAACAAGTAAAACTTTATCCATCAAAGCTAGGGAAGGTTTTTCTTGAAGAAAAAAACAGTAGCAGTAATAATGAAAATAGAAATTATTATTATTATGAGGGCCTCTTAATACTACTGCTACTACTACTACTACTACTAATAATAATAATGAGTGCTGCTAACTAATGGGGAAATGACTTCTCTTGTGCTTGATCTGCAAAAATTTGCACTATACATACTGAGGGCAGGGCATCAGGCAGGTGACAGATTGGAAGATAAAAATGAGAAAGTGGCAAGCTAGCAGTAGTGAACATAATTCCACTTTATTTCCTCAGGCAATATGGTTCTCTCATTAGCTCCTCCAGTGCTCCACCCCAAGCGTTAGGGCTCAGACCTAGTACCTGTTTCAACACCGAGGATGGATACCTATGACTAAGTGTGCACATAGGGCAAGATTCAGCTAATGAGGCAGTCTGTGGAACGGCTTCCGCTAGTGCAACCGGGCTTCCCCATCCGCTGTGTGCATGGGAAGGAGAGGGGGGGAACATTCGATTTGGCAAGCTGAAATGCTTGCACTGATGGAATGATTGCCATAGTGCCACATTGAATTCCTCCCATAGTCATTTGGTAAACTGTTTGCATGCATTGATTTTTATTCTGAAGGTAAGAATTTTTACATTCTCGGATGCAGATTGCTCCTTGCAACGCAGAAATCTTCACTCCACTCTCCTCCTCACAACCTAATTTGACATAATTTTTCTGCAAGTGTGGAATGGAGATGCCTCATTCTCAAATTATGTCAGGGCCTCTTGTTTTGGTTTAATTAATGGATTAATTCTTTGCATAACAAAGGAAGAACTGTATCACACTAATCTCTCATTTTTGAAAAACAAAACGTAACCTCGCACATCAGACAACTTGCTCTTTGATCTGATCCCCTGCTGAAGGTAACTGAAGCTAACAGTACTTTGCATTTACTCGACAGCTTATTACCAACGGCACCAATTCTCCAGCCGAACACACTTAAGATGGAAAGATGAACATGATCATCATGAAATATACAAAATAAATCTCTTTGAAATTTGTTTGAGCAGCTTCCTGAGCCTCCTCCCCACCACCACCACTCTCGTTCGCTTACCCTAGAACTTGTTTCTTGTGGAGAATTACATTTAAAACTGACAGCATTTTAATTAGAAAGGCAAATCTGGTCTTCTAAAGCTGCGGCTGCTTAGGGAAGATTTCCTAGATTTGCTGTTCAATTCATTTTTAATAAAGGCTTATTTAGTCAACTGACATATTTGTCACAGGGTGACTTTATGCAAAAGTGGAGAAGGAAAAATGCACAGGGACCTTCCCCTCTCTAGAACTGATGACCAAATACAGTGGTACCTCATGTTACGTACTTAATCTGTTCTGGAGGTCCGTTTGTAACCCGAAACCGCTCATAACATGAGGCATGCTTTCTCTAATGGTGCCTCCTGCTGCTGCCGTGCCGTTGGAGCACGACTTCCACTCGCATCCCGGGGCAAAGGTTGCAACAGGGGGCATCTACTTCCGGGTTAGCAGAGTGCAGAACCCGCAGCATTCGTAAGGGGGACAGTACATAACATGAGGTACCACTCTAAAGCCTTTCAGCTTCTAAATATGCAACCTACTTCCTTTCTTCTTGTCAATTACTATGAAACTTAATGTGCCAAATCTATAACCTCTTGCCCTGGGGCAGAATGCAAAAGATGACAGTGCCTTCCCACAAGCCCAAGTTGGCACTACTCTCTGTACCACTCAGACTGTAGGAATAGCCCAATTATCACTTTTATGGATCTGAATCCTGATCAGCCATGGAGGTCTGACATAAGGCACACTTTCAAATGCAACTAAAAATGCTTTTACATGCAAGCTGAAGTGTTAAGGTAATACAGGGACTGAGCTACATTGGTGAAGAGAAAGCACTTGATATGTGTTATAACACTATGACCAGATGGCGCTGCGGAGTCCCGTCTTTTGCCAATGTGATTTCCATTTATGAAGTTTAGCACATGTTTTCCTGAAACACCTTTTTGATGTGTCTAGATCCAGCCCGGGGTAGAATGAAAGCACCTGTCTACAGTCTTTGCAAGCATGGTAGTTACTGGATCATTTCCACCTTTCAATTGTTTTAGGAGTTTTTTCCTGGTGTATATGTTGGGTGAGAAACTATCATTTACTAATGCTGCACTGCTATTATTCTTGAACTTCATTTTAACTCCTTCTGTTGCCTTAACGCAACTAAACCCTTCCTTCCCTCCCTCTGTTGTTTCCTACACCAAATTTTAGCTTTTAAGCTCTTTGGGGCAGGGACTTGTCTCCTTGTACTTGAGGAAATACCATGCATGTTGATGGCACAATAACATCTAGGATTAGAGAGACTCAGGTTCCCCACTCAGTCATGAACTTCCATGCATGACTTTGGGTCCATCACTGTCTCGCAGCCTAACTTATCTCACAAACTTCTTGTGAGGATAAATGGGCAGGAGAGGAAGAACTACATACACTGCCTTGAGTTCTTTGCAGGAAAGGCAGGCTGTAATTGTAATAAATAATATAAGAGAATGGAAAACCCATGACTCTCTTAGCTGATAAGCATTTGTTCACTCGCTGAGGAGCTGCTTTTAGTGCCTTCTGAGATTTATTTATTTTCATGCATGGCCCACTTTCTTCCAGGGACTAAAAGGTCAATACATCAGATTTCCAGTCTGTCTCTCATCCAGACACTGACCAAACCTTAGATTGATCTTGCTCGCTGAATTACATGCCTTCAGATAATGCTCTCAAAGACACAGTAGCAGACCAGGGCAGATTATTTGTTCTACCAGCTCAGGATGGTCTACTCTGCCAGCTGCATCTCCATGGTCTCATGCAGAAATGTCTTCCCCATCACTGGCGGGTTACTGGATCCTTTTAACCAGATACCTTCTGCATGCCAAGCATGTGTTCTACAACTGAGCTAGTGCCCCTCCCTAAATAATAAGCCTAGCTCTTCCATAAATGCCTTTGCATCACACAAAAGATATAACTCTTGCACAGCTCCAGCAGGAGCAAGCCATTTCCAAAGAGAAGCTTCAGTTTCATCAACCGACCAAGAAGGGGTGGGGTGAGGCCTGGCCTGGCCTGGCCTGACATGCTTCTGTGAGTTTAATTGTAGCTTGATCTGCAGGAGGTACTTTTCATGAACTAGACAGAAGCATCTTCATCAGCTGCTAACATCTGCCAATCAAGTTGCAGTCAAAGACACAGGAGGCTGATAAGAAAGGATTGCAACCGCAGGAAGCATTGGTATCATTTATCTTTTAAACAGGTAATGACCATGCATGAACTAATGAATAAGCTGCTCTCCCTGATTAATCTGAAGTTAGGATCAGAATTAGAATGGATGGAATCATGTCTCCATTACAATGCAAAAGACTTCTGACCCACGCGGCATTGCAATTGGACTCCTGTCTGTGTGAGTTTAATTAAATTTCATGGTTTACTTACTGTACCTTCTTAATGTTAATGACCTTAGACACCTCAGTATTTTCAAATCATTGTTTTCTTCCATTTCTTTTCTCTTATGTGAAAAGCTTTCTTCAAGATGAATTTTCGAGGAATGGATTACATCCATTTACTGTTAGTCAGATGTTTAGACGATTCATTCGCCTTTCCCCAGTCTTATGAAATGTACAGCAGCTTCGCTATGGAGCGAAAAGAAGATTTACACATCTGGTGATAGCCTTCCCCACCCCCCATGAAAGCCCAATTAGCATTTTTGACAGCAAGAGCTGTTTAGTAAGCCAGGCAAAGAGACAGAAGGCACAACCTTGGATTTTTAATCCTAAAATGCCATTCACTGTTTATGAGCCCCAGACAAGACACTTAAAACTACAGTTTGCAGGGGTAAAAAGCCTTTATGTAGATCATAAATGTTTCCCAGTGATGTTTATTTTATTTTCTGCACTTCCATCTGCCCCTCCTACAACACGCTCAGAGCAAAATATATGGAGTTTATGTGTCTCCTATTTTATTCTGACATCCAAACTCCACACCAGCCTAGACCTTCATGAAGCAAAATGCACCTCATCAAAGATATAGGGTAGGCATAGGGAAGCTGTGATCCTGGACTACAGTTCCAATCATCCCTGGTCCCTGCTTTGTCAAACCCAATAAATCACTGGTCTCCTTCCTTTGCCCAACATTCTTCAGAGTCCTCCCAAACCCTGACAGCCAGGTTCTGTCTTGGGCCCGGTGTTGTTCAACATCTTTATAAATGACTTGGATGGAGGAATTGAAAGGATGCTCATCCAATTTGCAGGTGACTGTCATGGGCCAGGAATTGGCTTCACCTGCTGAGCAGCAGCCTGAAGGAGCAGAAGGCAGAGTGACTTCACCTGCTGCTGATCAGCCTTCTTACTCCTGATGTGAACCAGCTGGCTCCAGCTTTCTTAAGCAGGGTTTCCAGCCTCAGTCAGATGCTGGAAACAACATTTGTCGTTCCTGTCCAGACTTTGCTGCTTCTTGCTTCTCCTGACCTTGGACTCATCGGTTTCTTGAGCCCCGGACCATCTGACTTATGTGAACTCAGATGCTCCTAACCCTAGGTCTGGACTAAACCCTGCAGAGGGACACTGTGTCCAGGCAAGTACCTCCCTGAGCTGGTTGGCTGGCTGGCCTCTCCTGCCATTGAGCTCTGCTGTGGTTGGGCAGCACGAGACTACAACAGTGACACTAAACTGGGAGGGGTAGCTAATGCTGCAGAATACAGAATCAGGATTCAAAATGACCTTAACAGATTGGAGAACTGGGCCCAAACTAACGAAATGAATTTTGATAGGGACAAATGTCAGGATCTACACTTAAGCAGGAAGAACCACAAATATAAGATGGGGACGCCTGGTTTACTAGCAGTACATGTGAAAAGAATCTGGGCTCTTAATGGACCCCAAGCTTAACATGAGTCAACATGGAATGAAGGTATCAAATTTACAGCTTGCAGTGCATTAAAAGAAAATGTTATGAAGGTGATGTACAGATGTATCTTTAAATATTTAAATGGCACATGGGGGCTGGAGCAAGCTTGTTTTCTCCTGCTCTGGAAGGTAGGACTTGAACCAATTGATTCAAGTTAGAGGAAAGGAGATTCTGAACCTCAGGAATAACTTTGACAGTAAGAGCTGATGAACAGTGGAATGGACTCTCGCAAGAGGTGGTGGACTCTTGTGTTGGGATGGCCATCTGTCATGGATGCTTTAGCTGAGAGTCCTGCATTGCAGGGGGTTGGACTTAGATAGACTCTACAATTCTATGCAAGCAACCAATGCTTTTGTCTATTCTGAGACTTACATTCTGAGAAGTTTTCAGTGTTATTTCTGTTGCATTTTGAGTGTATATATATAAATATATATATATAAATATAAATATATATAATATATATTTGTTTTATATATATATATATAACAAATTAGAAATCTTTCTGTGATGCCATTAGCTGTATAGTCATCACTTCACTTGATTACTGGATCCCCCGGCAGTCTAGCAGCCATAGCTACGGAGTTCTTGGGTAAGGAGCATTTTGGACCTTTTCTGAACCCTTTCCAACAAGGAGAAATGATTCAGTTGGCCCTGGATTTATGTGCTTCATTAACAAGAGCTGCAGGTAGAGTATGCTCATGGCAGGTGAAAGTACTAAAATAGATTGCTCAGAGTAACAATTCTTTGGCTAAGCGTACTGATTTTGTGAATGGGATCATTAGTCTACTAGACAAAGGCACAGTTTTCAGATGCCAGCTACTTATCCACCTCTCTATCCTGCTGTTGCTGTAAAGTACTTTTAACTTGAGTCGTAGGCAGTTTAGGTCTCTGTTGTTTCCTGCGCTGCTTCTACAGCCTTTAAAATTAACATTCCCCATCTTCCTCTCCATGTTAGGCTTCCCCATTCTTTGTGATCTATTTTATCTGGGATACTGGGATACTGAGAGAATGAACTAGTATTTGCAAAGGATTCTGAAGCCCTTTAACGGAAGAGGCTATCCATTTTACACTTCTTCAGGGTCTTTTATCTGAGGATCAAAGCATGATGCGTCATCTATACCAGTGGAAAACAGAGGCTCCTTCTTCGGATATGAGAATAAGCAACAATTCTCCTAGGGTACTAGGCAAATGTTAGAACTGCTTGTTGAGGTTTCTTAATCGGAACAATATTAAAGGGAATACACACAATCTTGTCCTTGTTGTAATTCACCCTGTCATTCTCCATTTAAACCTTAGCATAATTTTCACAGTATGTATTTTCTTTTGCATTATATTCCACTCTGATCTTACTGTTTACCATTTTTCTTTCTACACCCACAGGTATGTATGCTTGCCAAGTTAGGATAACTATGTGTCTGATGAAATAGACTGTAGCCCACAAAGTTTATGTTGTAATAAATTAGTTAGTCTTTAAGAGGCCACAATATCTTTTGTCTGACTTTTCATGTCCTTAATGAAGCTTTAGACATTTATTGTGTGATATGGGGCTATAACAATGTAACCTATTAAAAGTAAGGGGCATCTGGCAACCATATCAAACTCACTAATATAAAGTGTTTCCAATTAGTACACACAGCCTGATCTTTTGCTACAAGATCACTAATGGAGAAAGAGTACCAGTGTGTCTGAGAGCTGAAACATAGTTACTCGCCATTTCCAATCTCTGCCGAGCTGTGACAAGTTTCCAGGGGGTTCCAGACACTCGGAGTTTGAGTTTCCATTGGAAATTAGGCACAGCGGAGATTGCAGTGTCTTTATGAAATATGATTTATTTACACATATTTACACCCTGCGTCTGGATGGAGAGAGTCCCCAGCTTTCACATCATAAGAGAGTCCTTTGTTGCTCTCCCAAGAGCAACAAGTGTGGACCTACAAGCAGAGGAATCAGCCATGCTGCCTGCACTATGTAGTTATGTCTCCGTCCCCTCAGAACCCACACTGCATTCTGCTCCTTACTCCCTTTTCTTCCCAGAACCCCTTGCAAAAACAACGCCTTGTCTTTCGCTTACGTCACCAGCCCCAGGCAACCCCCATTTCACATACTCAAAAGATCTTTCCTCTGAGTCCCCCGCTACTCAGGCCTCTTGCAAAACAACACTCTCACCCCCCCATCGCTTATCAGGCAAACTGTAGTCCTGCACCAAAGCTAGTGACCTTTTGTGTTACTGTGTAAAACCAGGGCCCAGAGAGGCTTCACCCATCTTGCTGTCTCACAATGAATCTCTGGAGGGCCCAATCTATTTTCCTTTTGTTAGGCTAATCACTCAGCTACTATCACTGATTACCTGATGAGAAAGCTGAATGGTGTTGTTAGCATGAACTTAATCCAGGGGCTTCAGCACTTGGCACAGTTTTTGATTGAACCCAGATTAATTCTCGCTTTTACTAAATCCAATAATTACAGGGGAGTCTAACCCTGCCTACAAACTCATGCCAATATGAACAAGAGAATTATTTATCCTGAACTGTGCATTTCAGACTGCATATGTGAATATGTCTCCATATTAAAAATTAAGCAAGCACTCTTGTCTCTTAACGTGTCACATTTGTATGTGCAGAGGACATCATTTGCCTTGTCCTTTCATTTTGTCTAATGGAGGGACCTTATTGCCATGTGCACATTTATCAGTACTAGAACATTTGTCCATTGAAAACTGGGTTCTCTCAAAGTGACGACATGGAAACCTAGGTCTTTTACACAATCTTACATACACTTTTGCACAATCTTACACTTTTACACAATCTTACATACACTTTTGCACGTCTGGCAGGAGAGAAAAGGCAATGTAAACTGCACAAACACACTCTGCAATCCCCAGTTTCGGAAAGTCTAAACCCAGCTAAGCAATTCTCCGTTTTTGTGACCAGGCGTACTGGTATCTATGTAAGTGATTGTTGCACATTAAATCTATCTACCTATCTATCTATCTATCTATCTATCTATCATCTATCATCTGGTTCTGGTTCTGGTTCTTTATGCTCTGAAGCAAAATAACCTCAAACACTTATGAGACATTTGACTGGTTGAAGTTTGCAGCCCAAATAGAATGAACCAGGCAATAAAAGCAGCAACTGGGGGACCATTTATGGAAACTTCATTTGCACTAGCATCACATCTTGAGATCACAGCAGCAGCAGGGAAGATGAAATGAAAAGCGATTGCACGTCTGCTCATTTATCTTGACTTTTGGGTATGGTGGTGATGATGGGGAAACAGGCAACATTATATTTATTTCAGACCTTAAAAAAAATCTTCCCCCAACCCAGTCTGCAATGTTGTTGCTTAGATCAATTATTCACAGCAAATTTCTAATTAAACAAGTTTCACAATTCTCCAAACTGAAAATTCAGTTCCCCTCCCCGTTTTTCTTCCTTCCAATGGGCACTGATAACCAAGGCAATGAATTGGTGATGCTGTAATTCAATACTTCTCATTGCTGAACAGGTAATACACTATTAAGCCAATTATGCAGAGGTAATTCCGACTTTAAAAACACAATTATTTCAATATCAGAAGAACTGTCCTTGAAGCAACCCTTGGTGAACTCTTACAATCACACAAAGGAATGCTTTATTTGTTTAGCACATCATTTCTAGGTTGCCTATAGCAAACTTCTGAAGCTGGCTGTCAACAAGAAATGACCACCCTCTGATCTTTGAAGGGTGGTGTATAGATTTCATTAACAACAACGACGACAACAACAACAAATAATATATAATTCATTAACACAAAAGCTGCCATAAGGGCACAAGCCTAAGGATCTTATAAGATATTGCAGACCTCCCTCTCTGTGGACACAGAAGGAGGTCCACAGATAAAAAAGGAGGCATGCTACCCACGGGGCTCCATTTGGTGATGCAGCTGCAGGAACAGTTGCAACTGTCCCTTCACTGCTGATGCTCTGCTGATGGTCGGGTGGGAAATATTCTGTTTAAAGGATGAATGTAATTTATTTCCCACCCTCCTGCCAATGAGTTCAAGTGATATAGTTCTTCTGCTCCCTCACCACAACCCTGTAGGTTCTTCCCTTTCTGAGAAGATTCCCTTTCTGGGAATCATTTGTTCCCACTGGAGCTATCAAGGAATAGGGAATGAGAGTTACTGACACCAGCGGATGTAAACATACATTGTTTGCATCTTCTTGGGGCTTGATACAACTTAGTTTTGATTTCAGTTATAGCATTTTCGGCAACCCTAAAGACTTTCTAGCTACCTGTATGTTGCGCACAAGAGTTTGAAGAAAAGGACTTGCTTGTTGCAGTGAATGACAAGAATGGGGAGCGCTTCTCCTCCCAGAAGTGGTAGGTACATCCTTCTGGACACTTTTAGGGAGAGGCCGTTGCAAATAAAAAGGGATGGGGAAAATAACCTTTATTTCATTGGTTAGTCCAAGAGGGAACCCATAAAGTCCACACAACCATGTCACACAGCTGATGAATCACTCAGATAGTCTTCAACTGTTTTGAATTCAGGATGTACATTTAAAGACAAACTGCAACATGGGACCCAGATCTAGCCACCATGTCCAGTATCCATCCCCCCCCCGTACCTATTTATCTTTCTCCCCCTCCTAGGTATAGAATAGGGTATAGTGACTGATGTTTCTTGGCACAGTGGTGGGAAATATTTTCTTCTGCACAACTAACTACCAACATATCACCCTGTCTTTAAAAAGAAACCAATAAAAGCAAAAGGAAATGGATCTGGTGCCACTGGTTTGACATACTGGTTTGATTAGGTTGGATTGTAAAGCCATTTGTGGGTTGGTCCCAACCCACCGAAGACAAAGGGATTACTTTGCCACTTGTGCTGATGAATAGACCATTCACCAGGAATGGAGTTCAGGATGCCTGACATCTCTTTATCTTCTTTCAGGCACTCTACCTTGCAAAGTAGGAAGACATCAATGGAAGGAAATCACTCAGATGTGTTTTTGGCCACTAACCAGAATCTAACTTTGTACAGAGAGATCGATGGTCTGATGAGTCCACATTGACAAGGGAAGGATAGATATAAATGCAGAATGCCATCCACTGACCAGATAGATAGCACTTTTACTTGGACATATCTTGTAGACATCATTATTTGTAGCCCAGTAGCAGAGAAAAATAGTGTATTCAGAGTGATCGATTCCGAGCTTCAGTGGGATGTGTATTTCATTACAGTCATTCTGTCTGGCATCCAGTCCACCAAGAGCAAATGATATATTTACGGTGTACTTTGAAGAATTTTATTCCTGGGTCAGCCAGCAGCTGCACACTTATATAGTCCTGTCCCTCTACTTTTCTGAGAACCTCTGACACCAATTACTTAGGGCATGATGGAGTCCTTCCTTTGAATCACCATCAATCATCAATTGCCCCTTTAGAAATATTGCAGGCTCTCCCAAGCTGCTCCTCCTCCTTATACAACTAAATTCCTCCTATTCTGTGTTTGACTGGGAATAAGAATCAACATGTCTCCACAAATGTTTCCAAACTTTCCAGTATTTAGGCACGGTGAGTAGGCAGGAAGGTGTGTGCTTGTGGGTTTTCTTTGGCGACATGAAAAATCAAATGTACTTTTTCTAAACATGGTGCAATTTAAACAGGCAGGGCATGAGGGACATAAGGTTGTGTAGGCTAATATTATTGAAAACAATATTTTATTTTAATGCTGTCCTGAGGGATAGCTCTGTTGGTAGAGCATGAGACTCTTAATCTCAGGGTTCTGGGTTCAAGTCCCATGTTGGGTTGGACCATATGATCCAACTTTGTGATTTTGTGACCTTGCATATGGAAAACATTTTTAATGCTTTGTTGGTTTTATTGTAAATGTGTTGATACTGTACTTAGCAGGTTATTCAGACTTTGCTGTGTGTGTGTGTGTGTTATAAATGTGTGTGGGGGGGAGCACTGATTGGGCATATGGCATATCCAGGCATGGAAAACCTAAATGAATAAAAGATACACATATAATTATGTGTTGCTAAACAAAAAAAATCAAGAGCCTGCAGAGTAGCTGGGTATATTATTTTCTAGTTTTAGTTTTCAATAATATATTAGCAATCCTAGTGGGAAAGAAATTTTCTCTGAAAAATAATCAGAGCAGCATTCAACGCTGTTCAAACTAACTCCCACACTCTTAGAAAGGCTTCTACTTCCTGTCTTCTCCCCCTGAATCTTCTCTGGGGCATGGGAAAGCAAGGTGTGATGAGCCAGAATCTGTGTGAAAAGCCAGAAATCAGGACAGAAGGACAAAAGGTCAAAGAGCAAGTAAAGACTGTACGACCCAAAAGACAGACTTGAAGAGTAAACCAGAACGATTCACAAACACACCAGAGCTCAGGAAGATTATGTTGGTCAAGCAAATCTCAACAGCAACAGGAAGCCCTTTATATTTCTGTCTGTCCAGAAGGATCCAACAGTTTGGGTGGAGTCAGCCCAGGGCAGGGTGTTGCCCTCCAAATGTTGCTGGACTACAGCTCCTATCTGCTTCAGCCAGCATGGCCAATGGTCAGTAGTAATGACCTAGGGCCTGAAGGTACTCCCTTGAAAATCTGCCCCCTGCAGTTTGATGCTTCAGCACATGGGGAACTGTTCCTGACAAGGAGCTCCATTTACGTGTCTGAGGAGGGGTTTCATTATTTTCTGATGCTTCTGATGCTTTTCTCTTCCCTCTGCACCCTGCCTATTCACGTGGTGTTGAAAATGCCCACAGACTCAGCCATGCTTCTCTGTTATTCTCAGTTTGAGTACTTTTCTGTCATTTTAAAAAAGCAGTACATTGAAAGCACACTGTATTTGACTTGATGTCAGCGTGAATAAAATAAATAGCTTTGACCTTGTGCTTAACAGAGGCCCTGGGCTTTTATCCAGGAACTCCTGCCATGAGATAAAGCAGGCTGTAGCACTAGTAAGTGGCATCCAGAAAGATACCCTGGGTCTTGTATCTTCTGTTTGTAGTCTTTGTATTTTGGGCTCATAGTGGTAAATAAAAATATTACAGTAGGTTATCTTTTGGTAAAGCAAGATTTATTTATTTAAAAATGATGTCTGTAGCGATGCAAAATACATGAGTTGACACATCTTCAGTATCGGCCTAATGAGGCATGACTACTAGTATTTATTTACTGCATTTATATCCCACCTTTTTCTCTAAGGAGCTCAAAGTGGCATCCGCCTCCGCATTTAATCCCCACAACAACTCTGAGGTAGGTTAGGCTGAGAGGCAGTGACTGGCCCAAAGCCTGGAAAAAGCAGGATTAGAACCCTGGGAAAGAATAAGATACTGGATGCTCTGGGGATGGCAAGGAAGGCCTCACATTAGATGTGATGCTCTTTCACCACACATCAATTGGTGACCATGTTCACATGCTCATCTAGACGAGGAGCCTCTTTGAATGGTAGAGAAGCAGACATGCCCCATTCTACACAGTAAGATGCATGTGGTATGTGCATAGGATCATAAGACACTGTGTGTTCCCACCCACGTTTGGGCCTATGCGTGGGGCATTTGCATTATGTTACATTACGGGTGTGTTGTGCATGCCTGATTCTCCACCATATGAGGGGAACCAGTTCAATGGCTCCCAGATGGATATATTAACTGCCTCCATTAAACTCTGCTGTGATTGAATTGTTGTAGTGCAATAGCAGAACCTATGGTGTTTGATGGCTAATTCACACATTGAAGTGGGGACAAATGTGGGCCAGTCTGGTGCAGTGGTTAGAGTGCCACACTAAGATCTGGGAGGCCAGGATCTGAATTGCACTGCATCACATCCTTCAAATGTATAGATAGTAGAGGCTGTCTTACATCAACTTACCATATCAAATACCCACAATGAATTAGTCTTTGATGCTAGGGTTCATGCAAAGTGAATGTGTTTGAATTTATACTGACCCTTGTCTTTGGACATGTACTCTAAAGACAACTATTTTAGGAACTGTTACAACTGGGCAATTCTATTTGGGATGTATATATTCTTATGGCCTGGGGTTAAGTGAAACGGAGATGTGAGTTTAAAAAGTGCTAACGGGACCTACTGTGTTGATTTTAATTATTTTAGATTTTTGAATTAAAGCTGTTCACTGATTAAATTTTTAGTTGATTAATCATTAGGTTTCATTCAATCAATTAAATGTGCATATCAGCAAACCTCAACCTGACCATCAGACAATTAGTTAATAAATGTAATTAAAGTTGTATACCAGCAAAATCTCAATCTGGGTGCTGTTTGGAAGATGATGTAGGTGTGAGATAAATTTACATTTAATAAACAAAGCTACTCATTTGAACAGAAAGGCCATTTTTAACATTTTCATTTCAATTCACTAATATATTCACTAATTCAGTAATATACCTGCACCAAAATTACTTTAATAAAATAAACAAGGCTGCCCTTCAGTCCCAGTCTCACCAATTACAATTTGTTCCCTTTGATTCAAAATTGCCCTCAGGTTTAATCAAAGTGCTTAAATAAATGAGTGCACCAATTTGAAGAACATCATGCCCATTTGTCACAGCCCAGTGTTGAAGTGCAGTTCATGCAAGTATCTTTAAATTGTTCCATCATGACTTCATAAAGTGTTAGCTATGACATGCTGATCGAAACTAAGTTCATTTTGCTGTATCAGTTGTAATAATCTAATCAACACATGTGACTAAGATAAGAGAGGGTGGTAAAAGCTTTTCTGTCTCTCCTTGCTGGTGCTCCATCCTAACAAGAACTTTACTCATTCTGGTATATCTAATATCTTGAGCACATTAATCAGGCAATGACCTTTTAAAACCCATTAGTATCAGGAATGTTACAGCTGCCCAATTGTCTCCAAGGTCTTTGTTTCTCTACTGCCTGGTCTCTCATGAGTAATTTGTCTAGCAGAAAACAAACAGCTCAGAACCAGGGCATATCAACAGAGGTTTGCTACTGGTTGTGAACCAATAATGAAATGTGTTGATGTAATTTCATCTTTTGGTTTCATCTTCTACTGTTCCATCTTTCCCTCATACTAGAAGTACAGTTAGCTTTCAGTCACACTGAGCAAATAGGTCTTGGGCTGATGTATTCCAGGAGTAGTCACCATAGTTCCAGATGGTGTTGGACTACAGCTCCTGTTGTCCTAACAATTGGCCATGCTAGCTGGGGCTGATGGAATGTGGAATCCAACAATATCTGGAGAGGACCTTCTTGGCTACCTCCCCTTTAAATAGTCCATGATGGGGGGGGGGGAAGCATCAACGAATGCTCATTTGATTTCATGAGGATTGAAAATATTTGAATACAGGTGTTCAGCTATACCATGGCATAAACCATTCTACCAAATTTGGGGGCAGAACTCCGTAAAACTCTGCAGAGCCTGCATGTGTGTCTGTGCTCAGGGGAAAGAGGGTTCTTCCAAGCAACCCTCAAATAGAGGACTGTCCTCTGCAAAGCAGGAGACACAGCCACCCTACTGAACCCACTTTCCACAATTAGTTGTGCCCAGCCATAGCCCAAATTCCACATTTATTTCTGGAATTCCATGGCAAGCTAGAAGAAACTGAAACCAACCACTAATGATCTGCTTGGGATAATTGTATAATATGCTCAGACAGCATATAGATGCTAGCATATGGGATTGTGTGTGAGACAGGCACCAACTGTCACGGATTCTTTTTCTCCTGATCTCTTTAAGTTTGCAGTCTTCACCTGGCCTGCCAAGTAGCAGCAGTAGATGAATAAATTGCCTACATATGTTTTATTTATGCAGAGTGTACTTGCTTTCAGAGAGACTTCTTTAACCAGTTCAACTTCTTAATTTTTTACAAGACTTCCTCCACCCACAACACTCAAAAGTAGTGCTTGAAGAAGGGAAACACAATGAGAATCTGTCGGTGTCCCTCTAAATTCCCATCTTGGACAGCCTTATGAATTAAGCACGGAGAATGCATGTTTATATTCCACATAAATAATATCATACTCTTTTCTCTTAGGCATTTTCAAGTATACCTAGAAATCAGAAAGTAGAATTTGCCCATTGTTGCCACACACACTATAAACAAATCAACAACAGCAAAAAGGGAAAATGAAGAAATGTTGCAGTGGGAAGCAAAATGGCATTGACCCAAAATAAATATCTTTATTAAAACTGCCATTTGCATCAGGATTTTTAAAAGGTTTAGTCTCCAGATCAATGCACCCTGCATCAACTTCTGCACCAAAATGCCCAAGCCAGGGAAACTGAGGTAGTAGACCCACCACTTCGGTGGATCCTTGCTTCTGAAGTAGGGTTGCCATCTTTGATCAGACAAAATACAGGATAGGTCAGGCAAAATAAAGGACAGGAGGAGTTCGCCACATTCAGCCTTCTGCCTCCCTCACCACTGCAGCCCTGCTCTCCCCCTTGACTCATGTAGATGGGCAGGGGCCAGGGATAGACAGCTGGCTCCCGTGGGCGACTTGAGTTACAGCACTAGCCTCTTGCCCATGCTTGCAATGGAAGGGAATCAAGCATGGAGGGGGAGAAGTCAGGTTGGGGTGGAAGATGGGGCTAAGCAGTGGCTAGACTGGAGGGCGTGGCTGATGAGGAGTACCAGTGAGAAAGAATGGAGGAGAGGGCAAAGGTTGGAGAGGAGGTTGCTCTTTCCCTCTCTTCTCTGTTGTCACTTGCGCCAGGCCAAGCTCCTCGTCAGCCACACCAACAGTGACACAACTGCCATTTTGGGCTGGTCAAGCTCAAATACAGGAAAAAAATGTGTCCTGTTTGAAGTCCAAATGAGACAGAGGGCAATTTTTTTCCTAAACCAGGGTGATCCTGTTTTTCTAGGGGGAGGTGGCAACCTTATTCTTAAGCCTCAGCCCTCTGGAGTTCCCCTTTCCATTTCCTGGCTGCCATTTCCCCTCTCTGTTTCTGTCACCCACCCACCACCAACTCCTCTGAATGGGCTGAGCTCGAAACCTCTAGGTGGTTGGGAAATGTAGCAGCTGGAATTCCAAAGCTCTTTCTATTTTAAGCCCCCTCTCTCACAACAGGATTATCATATGAGGAAGAAAGGAAACGCAATAAATGCTCTAAGCTATGGGTTGCCACCAACTGCCTAAAGACGGCTGACAGGGCTTCATCAAAGGCCTGGCTATTGGAACTAGGCAGAAAGGAAACACCCTGCAAGGATGTGTTTCTAGTTTGCTTAGTGGAGCAAGTGGGAGGTGCAACCAATGCAAGAATCTCATTCTTCATTTTAAGGAAGCAAGTACCCTGCTTCAACTTAATCACACATCTCTTGGCTTCTGACTTTATACTGGAGAAGAAGAGAAGAAGAGAAGAAGAGTTTGGATTTGATATCCCGCTTTATCACTCCCCTTCAGGAGTCTCAAAGCGGCTAACAATCTCCTTTCCCTTCCTCCCCCACAACAAACACTCTGTGAGGTGAGTGAGGCTGAGAGACTTCAAAGAAGTGTGACTAGCCCAAGGTCACCCAGCAGCTGCATGTGGAGGAGCGGAGACGCGAACCCAGTTCACCAGATTACGAGTCCACTGCTCTTAACCACTACACCACAAGTGAAAGTCATGAAAGAAATGTCCCATTCCACATGATTCCGGACACACACACACACACCCCGCGCTATCTCAAAGACTGCATATTCAGAGAAAATTACTAACCTTGGAGATATGTCACATCCTTGTTGCATAAAAGCTCCCAGGGAAAACCAGAGACTGTTAAATATTCCAAATTCATTTGTTTGGTCATTGGCTGGTTGGTCCCGGCCTTCCTCAACCTCCTCGTTATGCCATTCATAAGGACTGAAGCGACTGACCAGAAAGAGGACAACGCTTACTCCAATGTAGGCAAAAACTATACACATCCAAATCTCATAAGCTAAGGGATCCAGAAAGGAAAAGACTCCAGGCTTGGACTTTTGTGGTTTTTTAATCATGATAGATATGCCCAGGCTCATAAATGGCTTGGAAAAGTCTATAACTTCCTCTCGCACTAGAGTGATGGTCAGTGGTGCGACGGCCACATCAGCTTTCTGAAAATTAAAAAGAGATTAAACTGAGACCAATGTTTTGAAGATCTGCAATGCACCAGTGTTTCAAGATTTTGTTACCAAATTGTTGTTGGTTTTTTGTTTTGCATTAAATAATATTTTCACTTTCCGTTTATATGTATCAGGGTTATATTGGTTTTCTTCTGTGAAAATTGATTTTCAGACACAATGAATTTTTCTTTAAAGCCAGTTTGGAAAAAGCTTAAAAGTGCGGATTATATTTTGTACAGAAACCTCAGTTTGCTTTCTTTCTTTATCAGATTCTTTTGATGGGTTGACATTTATCTCTGTGCCAGGCTAACCAGCATGGTTCTCTCCAGAAGTTACTGGGCTTCAATCGGCCAAAATACAGCATGATTAGGGATGATGTGAGTTGTAGTCATTTGCAAAGCCTCATCTTGGCCCACCCTGTCTTACTGTAATGTTTTAAATAAAAATAATCCCAGTGTGGATTGGTACTATTTTCTTTCCTATTATTAATCATTATTGATAACTAATGTGGGGCTCCCCTTGTGATTGAGCAAGAAGCTGCTGAATGCTGCAGCAGGGTTGATGAAAGGAGTGAGGCCCTATCAGCTTATAACACCTCTTCTCTGAGACCTGCATTGGTTGCCCATTTGCTACTGGGCCAAGTTCAAGGTGCTGCTGTTAGTTAACAGTGTGGTTGCAGGATTGCCTTACCCATGTATGCTCACTTGACTACTTCAATCTGCAGAACTAGCAATGCTACAGGTGCCATATAATACTCATTCCATACTTGTAAGAAATCTTTTGGTATAGCAGTACCCGCACTTTGGAACTCCCTGCCTATCAACATCAGGCAGGTGCCTTTGCTGAACCCTTTTTGGAACCTGATTAAAACATTTTTGTTCAGGAAAGGCCATTCAGACATGCAAAAGTTACAGGTGTTTTATTTCTTTTTAGCAACTATTCATTCTGAATATTTTAAAATACTTCTTGTTAAGTTTTTTGTTCAATAATTTTAATATTTCATATTTTGTATGAAACTGCTTAGTGGTTTCCTTACAACTGAATATTAAATAAGTGTTGTAGAATGGAAATAGTAGTATTTTTCCTTCCTAACAAACCTTTCAACTGATGGCTAGGATTCCACAACTGATGCTGCAATCTATTACCTGTGACATCTCCATTCCTTAATTCCTTACTTAATGTTGCCATTCAGAAATGACATGATTGTAACAAGCCTTAACTACAAAAGCGAAAGAGGAGACTTTCCTGCTGGCACTGTGCCTGACCATTTATTTTCATCAGGATATACTTCGCTATTAACAAATAGTTGACACAAATAATTTCGGTTGACTGAAAATAGTTCAACTTAGGTGGCTATTTGCCAACTGCACAGGATCATTAATGATACACCACATTGACTCGCACTGATTTTAATATTTGTCTTGCTGTGATTGGTGGATAATGATCAGCCGTGCAGGAACTGAACACAAATGGGTAGTGACTTGATGCAAAATCATCTGAAATTTCCAGTGTTCATCTAATGATACACTTGGGGATGTCCTTGTTTCATTAGCTGTTACAGTTTTTAAGCCACAGGATGAGAGTGAGAGAAACTTACTCCATATACTAGCTCCCCGACCATGCCATTCCACATTTTAGTTTCAGGATCTCGTGCTCCGTACTTCCGATCAGCGACAACCTGCAAGCTGTAGTTGTAGCCAACATGTTTTGCGATCTCAGCAGCTAACTCTACGCAATAACCTTCATACCTCAAATTTCCTTGCAATGGCTCATTGGTCTTCTTTTCCATCACATAGGGGGCTTCCTGGGAGAAACAGAAGAGTTTACAGAGCCACATTTAACCTTCTGGATGCATATCATGCTAACGTCATGTGGGAAAGAGGCTGGCTATAATACTTTATAGGTGACTTATGAAAGAAAAGAGTTTGTAGTCTTCCCACCGTAAACTCCAAAAAAGAAAAGCAAGGAAAACATTCAAGTCCCTCAAATTCTATAATTCTATTCAAATAACCAATGAGTTCAAGGATAGCTTGATATCCTTCACAGAACTATAGATTCACACAGCCACCTCCACAGGCATCCAGGATCTCCTGCCCTTATCTATGATGCACTGCTTCCTGGCAGAAAGTCAGGAAAAGAATCAGGACATCCTGTGGCTAGGTAATGAAAGGATCAGTTTCCTATCTATCTTTGGGAGGACTCTGATGTGGGTGTAGCTCATCTTTAGTTTTGAGTTTCGTTTATCTATTGTTTCAAGTACCTGTTTCGTGTACCTATTGTTTCATTCAAGTGAAAGGAGTCCCACAGTAATTTATAAAAAAGTGAAATGCAAAAATGTGTCATTAGATATTGAGAAAAACAATAAAGACATATTAAAGTGTCCACCTAAAATTACTTGAAACACACAATATCCAGACACACCCCATGCAAGAAGACCCAGCAGAAACAGCTCCTAAAAGCCAGACCACTTGTATCATCCACATGCCTGGGGAAATAAGAAGGTTGGCACCAGGCGAGCTTCCTTGGAGGGCAGCATTTCATAATCAAGGAACTACCACAGAAAAGGCCCATTTGTTGGTTAATACCCTTTGGACATCTCTTGGAGGGGTCACAGATGCTGATTTCAGGTCTGGGTAGGTTTCTATGGAGAAAGGCAGTCCTTTAACTATTGTGGTTCTGAAGCATACAGGGCTTTACTGGTCATAACCAGTACTTTATAGATCAAAGCCATGTCCATGGCTTCTTCCTTTCAGATGCTTGGCAGCTGCTACTCCCAAAACATGAGGATGGTGCTTTAGCTGCCTGACCGTTCAGCCTTCCTTGCAGCGCTCCCAATACATAGAACAAATATCCCAGCTAATGAAGCAATGCCCTTTAAAGTTTTGAGACACATCATAGCAGAAGTCACCAATAATGACAGAGGAAATAGCAGTTTAGCCATGCCAACTGTAAAATCAGTCCTAACCATGATGCATATTGGAAAGAGAATGCAAATTATGAATCTAGTTGGCTGACTCAAGATGAATCGCTGTACATCCGAGACATGGGCAAATGCAACACGCGAATCACAGGATCCTAGACAGCATTGGGCAGCAATTTCCATAATCATGGCAAATGAGGACAGAACATTCTACACCGTTTGCATTTCTCTACAAATTACAATATCCTCATGCCGATATGGGAATCTGTTCAAGAGCTTAAAAATTCGTTACAAGATTTGGATAGATTCCAGTTCTTCCCACTGATTTTGCAATGCTAGAGCACAATGGTAGTTCATATTAGATAGGTTGTGTCCAATTAAGTCTGACTCAGAGTAGACTCACTGAAATTAAGGAACCTAAGTTAATCGTGGTTGGTTTTTTCTGGGAGGGTACACATTATTTTATTCAGCAAGCTGCTTTGAGAGGGTGCCATCCTTAAAGATAGCCTAAGAATGTTGCAAGCAAGCAAGCAAGCAAGCAAATAAATGAATAAATAACTATTCCCATGGGAATAGTTTGCTGTAATAAATAATGGTGCACCTTGATCTATACTTTTTTTGCAGTAATTAACTTTCCCCCTACCCACCTCAAAAGCTTGGAAATGTTTACAGCCATATTTACTCATAGATTTCATCTTTTGACCTGGTTATCAAGTGATTCAACGACTAAGATTACCTTTCCATGTTATTCACCTACCTTCTCAAAGATACCTTCACTGATCATTGCTCTCATTCTTCTCTCTTTATCCCCACCCCCACCCTTTCCACTCCCATTGTGGACGTAAGGATGCTGAGATACTTACTAGAATAGTTGTAACAATGTAGACCCTATCCTGTAGAGTTGTGGTTTCGTTTGCTCCTTGTTGATCTACGGCTGTTGGGACAAGTTTTTCATCTTCATTCCAATAGCCAATCTAATGACGACAAAGAAATTATAGCATATCTGTGACATAAAGATAGTTTCCAAAATGACTGGAATGTAATACTAGTGAGAATACCCACTCTAAAGCATGGTGAGAAATAAATCACTCTCTAAGTTTTCTGTTGACCCTGACACTTTAAAGGCATGGCAGCAAAATCATGACATATTTTACAAAGAGCACATATAATGGTGTTATTATGTTGATGGAAACATATATGGGCCTTTTCAATTTATTCCTGGTTCTGATGGGGCCCTGCCTTTCCTGCTTCAGCACCGGCATGTGGTGGTGAAATAATTAATGTAAGATTAGATTCCTCTGGTGTAATTCACTCTCCTAACCGTGTTGTACGTAAAAATTGAATTGATGCATATTTTCCCAACAGAGGAAAAAAATGCCTTGCAAACTCCTACACAAAATCTTCACCTCTCAGACTATGGTATGGATTAGAACAAAGCTATCTACCACAGTTCTCTGAATTTTGCATCAGAATTCTCAGCACTTTAAATGTAATAAAATCCTTTTGAGGGAAAATTAGAAGCAGCTTTCCCAGTGACGCAAAGTGGCAATGTTAGGTTCTTGGTAGCTGTGTCACTGAAGCCCCATCATTCAGCCCGGACACTGAGGTCTAACTCTGAGGGTCTTCTGGCGGTTCCCTCACTGCGAGAAGTGAGGTTACAGGGAACCGGGCAGAGGGCCTTATTGATGGTGGCACCTGCCCTGTGGAATGCCCTCCCATCAGATTTCAAAGAAATAAACAACTATCTGACTTTTAGAAGACATCTGAAGGCAGCCCTGTTTAGGGAAGTTTTTAATGTTTGATGTTTTATTGTGTTTTTAATGTTCTGTTGGAAGCCGCCCAGAGTGGCTAGGGAAACCCAGCCAGATGGGTGGGGTATAAATAATAAATTATGATTATGATTACTGGAAGGAAGAGGGGTGAGGCAGCAGGGAGGTCAGGGCTGTGTAGCTGCCCTGAGAAGAGCACCAGATTGGCTCTGCCCATGTGCCCACAGAGTCCCAGCCTTTCTGCAATCTTGCCCCTCTCCCTCCTAGTAAGCAGCAGCAACACCACTGCCAGAAAGCTAGAATCATGGCCCGCTGCTTCTGGAGAAAATTTAGATTACAATATTTATGAAAATAAGCATTTAAGTTATGTAGTCTGATAGGATAAAAAATGAATCACAGTTTGATTAATGTGGAAACGAAACAGAATGGAATTGTGGCTAAAAACATGGAGAAGTGACACAGCTCATAAGCAGACAGATTCATCCAGACAAAATTTACTCGTATATATTTCTCGCAACAGAAGCTAACTTTCGAGAAGAAATGTTCTTAAAAACAAGTTGCAGTTCGAAGATTACTCTCTTCTGTTTTCAAAGACAAAGTAGCCCGTTACCTTTCTGATCCCATCATGTTTCATTTCAATCACATGAAGGGTGTAATTGGTCCGATGTCCTTTCTCATTAAACTGGACGTTACCAGTCAGTCCTTCAAAGCGCACCTTAAAAAAAATACAGGAATCTGTTAAAAGATAAAGTTTGTTATGGACTTTAGGTATTTTTCCTCCAGCCAAATCTTTAACATCAGATCAAACCCGCATATGAGTGTATCAAGATCTTTGTATACCAAATCTGGATATGGCAATATCTAAACTGACAAGGTTGCTTCTCAGTCCTAACTGCATTGCAAAGAGTGGATATGGAGAAACGTTCCTATACATTTCCACCTGGTGTCTTAGTAGAATTCTCCTTAATACCTGGCAAGGTGATCCAGATAACAAAATTATCATGATTTGATTGGTTCTGCAAGCTCGGCTAGTTATGTACAATGGGTTAGAATTCCATCAGTGAAAGATACAGTAGGGCTGTGTACACACTAACTCATTCCTAGCACAAAAATGTAGTCATTCTCAATCCAGAATAATTTATGCTCATATTCAACATGCTGTCTTCAATGTCAATTGATTATACATCTTGTCGTCTAGAAGAATAGGTGTGGTTATTTACATGCATTTGACCCCACCACCTGCTTGATTAGGTTATCTACACCTTTTCCTCCCTGCTTCTGCCCCAGGTGAATGAAGAAAGAAGTGATGATTGAGGTCTTAGTAAACACCCACCCATAATATTGGGCAGGTGTGGATACATCCCCCACTGCCAGGACTACCTACATCTGTTTTCCAATGGACACATTTCAGGATAATACAGAATCAACCTGCAATGCACTTTTATTTTCAGAACAAAACCAGTTTTTTAGGAAGCACTTTTCAAGAGCAAAAGCTATGCTATAGGTTTAGATCGCACACGGACCACACAGAAACAAGCAAGTACTCAGTCTCTATTGATTCCATGCATCATGGATATGCAGAATTATATAGTGATGCACAATGATGTTAACACAGATAATAAATCACTGTGTAGTAGAAGAAAAGGGAAAGCTACTCTGCTTCAGCAGAGTCTCTCTTATCCAGTAAAACAGTGGAAAACCTAGCAAGTCAAGGAAGCAGCGGAGCAAGCCGATTGGGCACCTGGGGCGGTGTGCGTGGGTGCCTGTGCCCAGGGGCAGGGCCAGCCACCCGCGGCGAGCCAGGGCAGGATGCTCCGCAGGGCCTCCAAGGAGTCTGCCTGCCTCCTCCCACTCAGCCATCCTACAGCTGAGAGGGAGGCGGCGGGTGGACCATTTGGGGCAACGTGGAGCCTGTGAGTGCCCAAGCCACTGCGTCACTCCCAGGAGAGACATGTGGCTTGGGTGCGCTGCAGGCCCTGTGGTGAGTGCCACCAGCATTTTGTCGTCCCCCTCAGTGGTGACTACCAGGACGGCCCGCCCCCACTGAACCCCCTTCCTTCGCCCCTGAGTTAAGGGAGAAGGGGACTTACTTAGCCTTATCTCTGATATGTTTCATTTACAGAGAACATTCAAACATGTCATCCACACTCAGCAGTGTGAAATTGTATAATCCCGGAATTATTCCACTACATGCTATTCCTGCACATTTGACACAGCCAGTGCCTACTGGTGTATAAAAATGGAGATCATAGCTACCTATGCTCATTAAAGATTTCTGGAGGACTGGAAATAAAGTTTGGTGAGCTTATGAACAAGACTTCCATGGAAATGCATTTCTCTCCAAATGTCTTTGGTGGTCTTTTCTTTTTCAAGTTTTATTTTCCTAAATTGGCAGGTCAAAGTTTACCACTCAACTTTGGATCTTCAATCTCACTGTAAATTTTCAGTGTTCATGGCTGTTAATGATTCAACAGGATGCGTCCAGTTTGCATTCCATAAAATACTGATTGTATCATGCCAATGTTAAGGAAGTAAAGGGACAACTGGATGTTTTTTGCATATTTGAAAGACTTCTCATTGAAAAATAACAGATTCTGCACCACAGTTGGCTTTCTGACCTGTTGCAGAGCTCTCTGGATGTCAATCCCTTGTCCCCAAGGGACAGCTGGATTTGCTAGGCAGTCCCCCGCATTCCCACGGCGAGAGATGTCAATCCGCTGTTTCCTGAGACTCTGAAAAGCTTCTGCCATTACTCGAACTCCATCATACGTAAGAGCAGATGTGTACTAGAAAACAGAAAAAAAGATATGTCCTCCCTATTAGGGCTGGAAACTTGGAAATTCATGCTCCTTTTTCCAAAAGAGGAACCTACAAATTAAAGCTAATTTAACAGAATTTAATTTCAAGCTGCAGTTTGAATGGGCTTTCACTAGTATCAGTTCAAATGAAAATATTGTGGGAATATGTCAGCAAGCTAGGATCAGGTACTTTGTAATTAAAAGAACAATTGCATGAGACTTTGTCGTTTGAGCTAAAGACTAGGCCTATATGCTTGGCTTTGACTGATGTCCAGTACAATCCTGCAAATGTCTGCTCAGATGTAAGGCCAACTGAGGTCAGTAGGACTTACCCAAGTAAACGTTGGGCAGTGATTTCAACCTTGATTTCTGAAGGGATCAGCTGCCAATCCAGCTGTGTTGATACTTGCCCCACGCCTGATGACATGTGTAGGGCAAGGTGGTATGATTTGGGAGAAACAGCCTCGTCGGCCAAATTGGGACCTGTGTTGATCCAAATTTGGCCAGAGGATTGGAGGTTTCAGACTTGCTGGTTTCATATCCTGTGATTTGTAGACCCAACTTAATTCCAGTTTTGGAAGCCCACCCCCTGCTGGTATTCATTTCAATTTTAGATTTTAATGTCTTGGACTTCATGGTTAGGAGGAACTTATGTTGTACATGAAGAAATGATGTACCAGAAGGAAAGGCACAGAGCTGAGCTGGAGATCTGATAGAATGCTATGCTTGAAAATTGTTATTGCTGTTTTTAAAAAAGGTTTACATTTTGAACACTTTAATTCAAAACTAAACAATTATGGACATAGCCATGGAGCATGATCCCAAACAGTAGTATTTCACTATGCACATTTTTTAAAAAAAATTATACCCTGTCTTTCCTCCCAGGCCAAGCAAATTACTTTAAGCTTGCAATTCTGCTTACCAGTACTTGGAAATGCAACCTAGTGGAATCATTTTTCCAAGTAAACGTGTTTAGAATTGGGTTGTCAGTCTGACATATTCTCTCTCCTAGCAGCAAAACAGAAGCCCAGAGATGCGGGAGTTCAGCTAATATTGTTTTAGAAAAGGAAGTATGCTTGATTCACAAAGCCAAATATATGTCCAAAAGATTCCTTGTGTGCCAGGATGTATATATACAGTATAGGTATACAGATATATAGCTATATACTGTATATATTTCAAAAGGCAGTACTTCTAGAAATTGTCAGGCTTCAGGGAATCTGATCCCTCTCCCTCACGGCAGGCTGCCAGTAATAGAGATACAAGAAGCTCTTACCAAAGTTTTTTATTCACAGAGAGAGGCTTAGAAATGTCGCCTCTCGAGTAATGGTGTTGCTCTGAGTAATCTCCTCCCCCCCTTTCCCTCTCAGTCATCAGCAGTGCCACCCCCTTTACGGTGGCTGTTTGAGGCCAATTGCCTCTTCGCTTTCCGCTCTACCACTTTCACAGGTCGCCAGGTTCTGGGAGAAGGGGGGTTGGGGGTTGGAATGCTTTCTAGTGATAATGTGTCAGCCAGCTGCTCTGGCTCTGGTTCTCCTCCCCTCTCTTTCCCCCATTATCTCCCAGCTTTGCCTCTCTTCTGTCTCAGTGCCATGACTTTCTGCAAACCACTGTTGTAAAGCTATACTGTCCTGGGAGATGCGGGGGGGGGGGGGGCGGTCTCCACCATTCCTCATCAGTCCAGTCCCTGACAGAACTATTTTACTCTGCCATATAGTACTTTGTTCTTACAGAAACAAAAACCAACTGAAGCTGTTTCGCCCCCTATTCCAGTCTGAAGCAGCTCTTCTAAGAGTTTCTGTTAGTGGTCCCCCATGACTTAGATAAGTGGCTCATGCCGCCCAGAAGCCATGCATTCAGTATCATGGGCCTGATTCTGTGTAACTCCCTCCTGGCTGAGATTACTCAGGCCCCTCCCAGCTGAATTCCAGGCACTTGTTACATACCTTTATATTTCAGCAGGCATTTTCCTCTTTCTATTTTTGTGATTAATTTTAATTGATTCTATCCACTGTATTATTATTTTTTTGTAATATTACTGTACACCACTTAGAAACTTCAATGTTGAGCAGTATATACATGATTTAAATCAATGAAGGGTTGTTCAAGTCTTCTTCTTTTTATATCACACGGGGGTCCTCTCTTGATTAAGCAAGCAAAATGTCGTCTGACCAACAAGTTTGTTGTGATTTGGTGCAAACATTAAAACTTTGAGTTTCTGATTTCAAATGGAAAGCATGTTAATGATAAGAGGGCAGCACTAAGGCTACCTCAGAGAAACGGTTTTCAGTACCACTTGCCTTTGGCCTCTTCCAGTCAACACGAGGTTGTTCCCTGGCATCATTGCTCTTCCACTGTTGCATGATCCTGGCTGGGATGGTGTCGGTATAATTCACCAGCTGGAATCCAGTCACATTTGCACCACTTTCCTTGAATTTCCCTAAGTCGATATCCATGAAGCCCTAAAGAAGAAGGGGGAGAGAAGCAAAACAAAGAGGTGAACCAAAGTTCCGAGGACTATGTGCATATCATTGTATCAATGTTCTACATCTTTGTAATGCTGCAGTGCTACAAAACTGGTTGCACTTATTTCATGAAAGTGTGGCTTCCTGTGTGGAGCCATCTGTCCCCCATTTCCTCAGCCTTGAGTAGTGCTCTGAACTGAATATATAGTCACTGGAAACAAAATCTGGTAGCCTTAGCTATGACAGGATCCCCCACATTATACAAGCATTTCCCACCAGAGATGGGAGGATCATCCGTTTTGGTTCTCAATGCTTCTCATTTTCCCATTCTTAAATGAAGTTCTCCACATTTCTGCAGCATGCTGCATTTTTAATATATATATATATAAATAAATAAGTAAATAAATAATCCTCATGAAAATCAATCAGCACTATAGTGCAAATTTCTCCTAATAAAATATTTTTTGTGCGAGATTTTGGCTAATGACCACTTTCTTCAAGCAATTTTCCCTAATGCAATGCATACTTGAATGTTATTTTCACTTCTGTACAGTGGTACCTTGGTTTGCATACGTTTTGGATTACAAGCACGTCAAACCCGGAAGTGCGTGTCCCGGTTTGCAACCTTTTTTTTGGATTACAGCCCATTTTTGGGGGATTACGAACAAATTTTTTTGGTAGGCCCCACTGGCGAAAGCGCACCTTGGGTTACAACCTCTTTTGGTTTACAAATGGACCTCTGGAACAGATTATGGTTGTAAACCAAGGTACCACTGTATTAATTTCTATGTGCACTTTCCCTGAATATATGCATATTTGTAAACATTGTTTGGTTGGAAAACCGCATCACAGAATTCAGATAAGTGAAAATTCCTAAGGATGCCCATGTTCTGACTGTCAAATTGTTTTGGCAAGGGAACATCTGATAATATGAACTGAAACAAATTTCTCCTCCATCCCTAGTTGCCACCACTGATAAAGCTCAAGCCTGGGTTTTAATAATTAGCTCCAAAAAGTGATTTGGGCAGGAAGAAGGGAAAGCTATGGAGAGTCTCTGCTGCTTCCTCCCCTGCCACTTTCCAGCAAATTTCCTAGGCATCAGAACATAAAATCAAACAAAATGACCAGACTAGTTCAGTATCCTTTTTTCCATAGTGGCCACTCATCTGATCCTGGAGGTAGTGAGTGGCCACACTGACAGGAAGGCATTAATAGTCTTATGCTCCATCAATTTGTCTAATCCCAATTCCATAGTTTAACTGTTAAGTATCTCTTTCGTCTGCTCTGAATCTTCCATCTTTCAGCTTCATTGGATGATTCTGGTTTCCAGCGATGTGAGAGAGGAAGAAAACATATATCTATTCACACCATGCATAACTTTACACATCTGAAACATGTTCCCTTTCCGCAACAGTCCAAATTTTGCAAGTTTTCCTTGTAGCTACAGACTCCCATCTTTTTTATTGCCCCCTTTGGCATATTTCCTGCTCTAGGCTCTACTTTGAGGTGCATACCACATCCCTCTTTTCTTGCGTGAGAGCACTGCACTCCAAAACACATGTTTTTGGGTGCCGGGATCTCACCTCCTGAAAGAATTTTTTTGGGGGAGGCTGCGAACTTGCATGGCACCCCCAAACACATGTTTGGGGTGCCATGAGAGCACAGCCCTGAAAAAAGCACGTCTTTCAGGGCTGTGATCTCGCATGTCATGTGACTCACATGGGAGCATGGCCCTGGAAGACTTGCAGCCCAGTTTTTCACTGCGACATGTTGGAGGGTTTGCATGTACTCAGTAAAATATTTAATAAAAACACGGAACATTTAGCTGGTAAAATGTTAAAAGTCCCTTTGATCCCTTAAGTAATGCAACATAGAGTTTTGGGGTATCCTGAGTGGCCTGATTTTTATTTTATTTTTGTTTAAATCCCATCTTAGCTTTCACCTTCAGAAAGGTTGAATCTACTATTTTTCAATCCCACATCACCAAGAGGGGAGGCCAAAATGGGATGATGACTTGAATTTCAATGCAAAAAGGAAAATAGGCCCATTAGCTGGAGTACATTTTCATTAGGGCTGCTTGACTAATGGGAAAATGTATTCCTAGAGAATGATTCAATGGGGAAAGTGTCAAAATTTGCAAGGAGCATTAGTCACAAGGAGATGCTCACCCAACTCTAAATCTCATGCACTCAATCAAATGTCAATAGAGGATAAGGCACTCTCAGATTAAGGTCCATGAAAGAAATAAAAGTTATAGAACAATTGACCTTTCAGTTGACCAGATTTAGCTGTCAAGGAACAGAGTAGACTGTAGAGTAGAAAGTACATGTTACCCACCCTCTCCACCTTCTCCATCACACTGATGTTCATTTATTTAGGAATTTTTACCCTGCCTTTCAGTGTTGTCACAGCCGGGGAAGGTTACAAATAAAAATAATAAAACAAACAAATAATAACAAATACTGCAATGACAAATTAACAGCAGCAGAGTAGTAAAAACACAGAATTCACACCCGCTCAACCTACATTTAAAGGCACCTAGGAAAATAAACCATTTGATTGGTGCTGAAAAGACATGAGTAGGTGCCAGGTGATCCTCCCTGTGGAGAGCATTCCAGAGATGGTGTGCCACTATTTAGAAATTCAGGTTTACTCCATATGTGGATTATCCAACTATCCGCTCATTGCTTTCATGTATTTTCCAGCTGTGCTTGTAACAATTTCCACGCAGTCCGAAACTATATATGTATTTCCTTTGATCCCTCAGATTTGCATAAAATCAGACTACTGCAAACGCAAACCGCATTAAACCACATAAAAATTCCCACACCAGACACTGTGCAGCAGGTTAATTTGAAACATTTATACTGAGAATTTCCAATTTTTTGCAGCTGTGCTCCTGATTTCCAGAACGCTTGATGGAGAAACATCCCCACCCCTGATTCCTCAGGTTTTGCACAAAACCAGAAAGCTGCAGAAGTAAAGCTCATTAAATAATTTTTTTAACGTTGCTTGCTTGTGCCGTTTTCTGCTTTTGTGCAATTCTGAGGGATCCAAAGAAAAATAACATGATACTGCAGAGCTATCTGTGTGTACTCCCTGTCAATATTTAATTAGCATAATAGTAGATGGTGGGGCCAAACACAAAAGAGAATGCCTATTGGTATGAATAGGAAAGACCAAAGTTGTTCATTACAGTGGTACCTCAGGTTAAGAACTTAATTCGTTCTGGAGGTCCGTTCTTAACCTGAAACTGTTCTTAAACTGAGGTACCACTTTAGCTAATGGGGCCTCCCGCTGCCGCCATGCCGCCGCTGCACAATTTCTGTTCTCATCCTGACGCAAAGTTCTTAACCCGAGGTACTATTTCTGGGTTAGTTAGTGGAGTCTGTAACCTGAAGCATTTGTAACCCAAGGTACCACTGTATATACAAATTCAAATACGTGGGTGTGGATTATTCCATTCTAATCTGAATGGGGCAGGGGAAGCAAATTAACAGCTAAATAATGCTCAGATGTAGACAAGCTCTGAGAGTCCAGTGCTGGATGCTAACAGAAACAAGCAAATAACAGAAACAAGCGAAAGCAAGTGTAAAGGGACAATTTCTCAAATTTTATAAAAATCTATTTATAAACAGCATGTTTAAATGTGTTCCTACTTTTTTGAAACCTCCTTTTTCCTTGCTAGCTCGCTCTATTAATTGATTAGATTGCAATGCCTTAGAGGCAGCGTTTTGCTTTGTTACTGCGCTGGTATTATTGCTATCCACCTAGAGCCCTTAGGATAGAATGGGTTATCAATCTAAATCAAGAAACGTAAAACTGCCCACTGTGTAAGACGCAAGCAAGCTTTAAAAAACACCCAACAGTTCATAAAACCAGCTAGGTGGCAAATCTGAGCCGCAGCAATTGCACGTATATATTCCCATCTGCATTAAAATTCCTCTAGATCTTCAAAAGTGGTCCATTAAATTTAAAAACAAAAAGCGAGCAGTTAATAGAATTTGGTGGGATCAGTCAGCAGAGAAAGGGTCCCTGGGCAATGCTGGAATGGTGAGACTTGAAAGAGGCATAAAAAAATGTGTGTTTTATATATGTGTGTGTGTGTGTGTGTGTGTGTGTGTGTGTGTGTATCTCACATCAACCATAATTGTTGCTCTTCTCAACCATTTACTATATGGGTCATGCTGTGTAAATTAAAGAGAAAAATATGGTAAGATCAGTAGACAAAAGCTCAATCTAGATCAGTTTCATGTCAGCATAATTTCCCACCCCCCATTGTGGACAATATACCTTTGCAGAAAAATAAATAAATCTATGGAGCAGGTTACAAGAGTATTTCTATTCACCATGCACCAACACCTGAATACACGTAGTGTGACATAATACACAGAAACTGGAATTGCAGGTAAAATATCATTACTCACTTTCTCCTTCTCTCTTTTTAATGTTTGTCTGCGTGCCATTAGAATGTAAGCCTTCAAGCGGGGCCACTTTTAAAACATCTCCCTCCCTCCCTCCCTCTCTCTGTGTGTGAGCACGCACACACAATACCTGGTTGCTAAATATTCTTATTTTAAATCAATAGATTGAGTTGAATCCAATTGCTCCCCTTTGTTCATTGAATACTTTTTGCTCCAGTGGAGACATCCACAAACAGAGAATGGAATGTGATTTCCTCCCTCAAATTCTCCCACTCTTTTACAGTCCCCTTCACAACTTCCCACACTATTCTGGAGAGTTTCCCATCTGAGGGGTGGATCACAGTGGATGTGGCTGCAGTTGGAAGGGTGAATCAGCTCAACCATTCCCTGCTTCTGTTCATGGAAGCCACCAATGGATTGAACAGTCTTCTGTGAAATAAGGGGCTTAACTAGATAGACGCCTATGCATATGAAGCTTGCCCTACATATGAAGTCAGGTCACTGGTCCCAAGCCAATACTATTTACTGTACTCCGAGTGGCAGCAGCTCTCAAGATCTTGCCTAGCCTTTCTGCCTAGAAGACGTCTTGCCTAGTCCTTCTGCCTGAGAGCCTCCTACCTGGAAAGGACAGAAATTGAACCTGAGGTAGATCTACACTCCTGGTTTTTCACGTTAAGGAAGGGTTAAGGAATGGTTTTCATAATGCAGGTGGACACATGACATCCTAACTTTTAACGTTCATAATGTGTGATTAAAATGTGACACCAGAGGGCACTACAAAGCAACCAGCAATTGGCAGTAAGGAAACTGCGTTTTCACAAAAACAACCCCAAAGGTAAGAAACACTTAATTTACAAGTATGCCCTGTGACATTTTAGAATGATATATCTAATATCATTCTAATAACGTAAAACAGGTCAGTGTAGATCCTGCCCTGGAGTCCTTCTATGTGCAAATGATACTCTTTGTGTTATGGTGGCATTTTATTTATATTTTGTTTTTTGTGTTATTATATTTATATCCTTTTTTCCCTGGGGAAATCCAGCCAGATGGGAGGGGTCTAAATAATAAATTATTATTATTATTATTATCATTATCATTATCATTATCATCATCATCAACCAGGCACTTAGAGTGGCATACACTGTACTTGCTTGTTTCATATTATTCTCACACAACAACCCTATGACTTAGGTTAGGCAGCTGGGGTTTCAATAACCATTGGCAGGCAGCAAGACACACTTCCTTCATCTGAGATGGCTCACGGGCATCACTTGTGGCCACTGGAGGCAGTGCCAGATTTACGTATAAGCTAAACAAGCTGTAGCTTAGGGCTCCACTCACTTGGGACCCCCCAAAAAATTAAAGGGGGAAAAAACCAAACCGGATGTACGTTTCCAAAATATAAGATAAAAACCAAATAAAATAAAACCTGCATACAGCAACAGTGTTTTGTGTTGTGTAGGCTCCTATGGTGTAAGTATTGGGCCCCGCCTGCTAGCCTGCTCCCTAAAATATCACTGGTTTGCTCATTTCTATATATAGGGTGCCTACATTCTGCATGGACTGGTTGCATGGCAACATGTGCAAATGGCTTTAGATACCTATTAGGTCCATAAATTACTATATAGCATATATTCAACACAAAAAAACAGCGACAATTTGTTGTTGACAAAGGACAGCTGGACATATAAAGGGCCCCATTACCTTCAGTAGCTTAGGGCCTCATCAAACCTACCATAAATCCAGCCCTGACTGGAGGCCACAGCCAGCCACAGCCAGCACTAGCATTATTGGGAAATTGGGAAGACACTGCTGGGAACCCCACTAATTGCCAAACACTAGTGAAGTATTTCAAAGAAATTACACTTACAACTGATATCAGAAACTGCAAAGACCTAGCGGAGTTCCACTGAATCTACAGTATTCTGGCATATCCAAGAGGAAAGATTTCAGCAATAAAATCAAAACTGTCAGATGTAACAATGGCTTCTTCCTAACTACAACAATATAGCAGCAGTTATAACTGTAGGATGTAGAAGCAAGAATTAATATTTATACTGTGGTTAAATTAAAAGGGTTTCAGTAGTAACTGACAAAACAAATGTTCAGTCTCTTACTGCACAGCTAAACTGCATGTACTGCATCATTTCAGAGTATGCACATGTTAAACCTGTACACTTATCACAGGTCTAGCATCTGAGTTGACTCTTTAATTGCAACAATCAAAAACCTGGAGGGGAAAAGGTCAAATTGCTTTAAAACTAGCCATATGGCAGCTTTCAGTCATAACATCCCAGCCTTACACAGCATCACTCTGTGTATGTAGCTCCAGCAAAGGAAATATTAATAGCAAGCATAGCTACAAATTGCCAGGAAGCACCAAGGGAGAGGAAATGTTAGCATTGATGCATTTTCATGCTTCTTTTAGTTTAGAAACCTTTTTAAGATCAGTAAATCACAGATTAAAAAAAATTGCATTCCATTACAGCAAGCTCTCCAGCTAGGCTTCCCACTGCATCTTCAGTGTCAATCGATCTGGAAATGCACAAATCAAGCCCTGTGTTGTTTTTCTCATCAAATGCAAATGGAACAGCAGATTTACAGCATAGGAAACTTGAGATGACTGGTCTCAAATTGGCCAGCTATTTACCATACTGAAATTTATATTTGTTAAGGTCTTTTCAGGACGACATTACCCTGCTATCAGCTGTCCTTCAAAATGCACTTCACACATCTTAATCAACATTTTTTAAATGGTCAACTTTGACACTTGAGTGATGGTTAACATTACTTCCAGTCCTTTTTTCCATAGTCTGAAAATTTAATCTTCTGGAATAAAATGCAGCAGATGTGAGGAATAATAACTAGTATTGACTAGCAATGCAATCATGTATGTCTACTCAGATCAGAAAAATGTCCTATTGAATTCAGTGAGACTTGCTCCCAAGTAAGTGTGCATAAGATTGCAATCTTAAGGTACTTTCAGCTAATGACTCTGATCCACTTTTGTTTTGTTTTGTTTTTTGTTTTTGTTGGATTGATAGTAACAAGAAAAGCTTGAGCAGATACAATACATTTTTTTTTGCCTGCAACAGAGTCTCTCCCAGTCCTTGGTTAGGACCAAAACTTTTTGTACCATTCACCTTACCTAAAGGTGGGGTACACCCCCCTGAAGGCCACAAACGTATTTGCACAAAAAATTAATATGCTACTTTATATGCTTAGATGGAAATATAGAACTAATCACTATAATTCAAATTAAAAACAATACATTCTCATCATAGTGAGGTCTGTGACCGTATGATTTTTCTTACAAAGTATATTTAGTCTGACCCTTACACTAGGCTGACTATTAGCATTTCAAAATATCCCAGTGAGAAAACAGTCCTTTCCTTTGCTACCATGTTAATTTACTAAAGAGGAGTTACCAGCATTTACCTGTAGGGAATTTTTAATGGAGTGTAAAACAGAGAGCACAACATAAAATCTTTCCACATAGAAGCACTCTTTTATATCTGTACAACAGATGACACCTCCAGCCTAGTTGCCTAATCCTGCATTCTCTGCAACAAATTGCTAACTCCTTTCAAGTTTTCTGTTGACACTGACAATGAGATACCACATTTAAGCTATGTGGAAGGAAAAAAATAAGAATTTTCCATTCTTCTGTGTTCTCCATAACGCCTTCCATAATGGATGAACCTCTTTTTCTATTTTTTAAAACAGTAGCAGCTTCAGCTATGTTGGGAGATCTAAGTATAACTAAGGGCTCCTTCAGACAACCTGTTTATTGAGCATTCACCTTGATTTGCTTGCACAAACCTTGCACTGTGGTTAGATTGTGTCCACTGTTTATTGAGCATTCATTTTGATTTGCTTGTGGGGTTGTTATATGACAATGGGCATTGATTCTGATTTTCTTGTGGAGTGCTAATACATCTCCCCTGTAATAATGTGTTCACCCCAAACTTTTCAGTACATCCCTAACCACAAAAAGTCTCTCTCTGTGTTGTTTTTTAAGAGGAAATGTTCTGGTAGGGTGACAGAGGATTTTAATCCACTTTAACTGAAGAAACCTAAATTTTCAGCAGGCACTTGAATCCCTTACTCAAAATCATGAGTCTGGAGGCACTCTAACATTTGACAATTGACACCAGCCCAAGCAAGTAGCTTGACTTTTCTGACTGCTCCAGTCATCTTTGAGAGTGGGGCCTCCTCCCCACCCTACATTTTGCAGACGAGATACTAAAGCCCTGCTAGCAATGAGCAGAAATATGCCTTTGCTGTGTTTGAACTCCTAGTAGAATCTAGCTATTGTTCTGACAGTTCTTTCACATTTCCTGCACAGCACAGCCTAAAATACCAGCATGTTTACATTGTTTTTCTTTGAGGGAGGGGGGACAGTCCCCCAGGCAACCGTCATAATTCTGAGGATCACTGGCTTCGTCTCTCTCCATTTCACACCTCCTACCCCCTCAAGGTCCGGCATCAAAATGCACAGTTCTAACCCCTTCCGAGTGAGGGGAAGAGACCATTTCCTCTGAGCCAGCATTTGTCCGGCTCTGCTTAATTGTCTGCAGCCGCCTTACTACATGCCTTCTTCTCTCACACCATGATACTGAATATACTTCTGTCTCCACCATCCAGAGGTCATTCATCCCTGGGAGCAGAAAGGGTGAACAATTGGACCAAAACAGAATCCCCTGATATGGATTGCTGTCCTGACTCCAGTGGTTAGCGTGCAGGGTGGGGGCACAGGGGCAGTTGTCCCAGGCACAAAATTGTTAGGGGCGCAAAATTTCAACACCTGGTGCTGCCTCAGTACAGCTGCGCACTTCCCTCTCTGGGCTCCGTTGAAAACGGCTTCTGCATGCAAACCAGAAAGTGGCCTCTTCTGACAACGGAACAACTCTTCTTATCTCCTGTGATCTCCTGAGTGGCATGGACACCATTAGGCAGTTGAATGTGCATGCGTACTCCACCCATTTCCCTCCCTCCCTCTGCATGGCCCGGGGTTCTGGCAACCCACGCTACGCCAATGCCTGACTCCCACCCAACACACAAGGGCAGAGGTTCTTACTTGTATGTAAAACAGAGCTCTCTAGTCATGCAAGTAATGGTACAGGCTCAGCAGCAGGTATAGCAGCAGAAGTCAAGCATTCAGGAGCCAAGCAAGAAGTTCAGGACTCAGTGGAAGCCACACACAAGGAAGGCAACTGATATGTTAACGTATGTTAATGGTTCAGCTTTTGTGTGCAGCCCTATGTGTAAAACTTTGTATCTTTCTGCTGCAGGGAATGATGAAATGGAAGAAAGACTTCTGCAAAATAAACCAGTTGCGGTGGAATGGAAAATGCCACTTGAAAGTGTGAAGGAATGTCAGAACGGACTGAGATATATCCGTCCAATCTACCCATTGAGAAAGCAAGCGGCCCCATACTCCTACTTCCACAGAAAGAATGGGAATGAAAAGCTGCCACAAACAACCAATTCTTAACGCAATTGTGCATTGGCTTTTGTACAAGCCATTTCTTCACCATCTGGGTGAGTTTTAGGTATTTTGGAATCTAAGGAAACTATTAAAACTCACCCAGATAGGGTGGATCAAGTGGGAACAGTGCCAGTAGATATGGTCCTGCTTCCCCTTCTGTGTTTTCACTCTGTTCATAGAGTGAACAGGACTATAGGAGTTCCACAGCTAGAACAATGTGAATTCTGGTGAAGTATGTTGTCTTAGGGAATCAGTAGCACGGCTGGATGATAGAGCCCAAGATGTAGGGCTATAAACACCAATGTTTCATGTCTGTTAAATAGCTTGGCTGTTCACATGAATTCCACACCAGGCATATAGATACACATCCAACATATATGTTATCAGTCCCTTATTGTAATTTGTATAAAGCTTACAAGCTACTGAGACACCTATGAGATGCATACAAAACAAACGTTACTCTAAGGCAGTAAATTCCCCCCTCAGAGCTATTTACTTTCAAAGCCCAAGGCCATGTAGATAATTGTAAGCCATGTGACACCAAAGTTTCTGAATGCTACATTTCCCCCCAGGAATAACATTTTTTTCTCTTTTCATTACTTAGATAGTTGGTGTCCAGATAGAGGAGGCTTGGATACAATGCCAATACTTATGCTTATTATTTACATGACACATTTTAATTGGTTGTTTTGTTGTAAGAGTGAAAACATTTATCTTCTTTAGGATCTGTTAATGAGCATGACACAGTCACTGTTGGAGAATTGATTTGGAGCTGGGCTTATTCATCACTCCTGGATAAAGATACCTTAGTATTGACTGTCGGTTCAGCCTTCTTTGTCAGCTGGAGGCTTTGAGGGCTATCAACACCGAAAAGCTCTCTGGCTTTATGCCTTAACCACAAGCCTGTTTTCCTCCCCTCACATTAGAAAGCTTTTATAAAGTAACATTATTTTACAAACACAATTGGTCACTTCCCCAGGAACTGCAATCCGGACCAAACACAAAGAATTCCTGAACATTTCAGACTCTGTTTGTGGGGAGGAATCTGTAAGATACCACACTGAGCTATTATGCCAGAGATATCCAATGCTTTCATTAGATTTGACTTCCTGAGTGGAATACGAAAATCTCTCCTTCATTTCTATCACAACCAATTAATGATGAGGCTGTTTAGAAGAAAGGAGGCCATCTGCCCAAGTCTTGTTCCAACATGCCTGCCTACAGGACACATGTTCCTTGTCTGCCTCAGAATTACTGGAATGTCAGATCTGGTTATACCACCAACATGCTCCTTCCATCTCTGTACTGCAAAGGCACAGAGGAAAGGTAAGTTCCACCATGATCAAGGGGGCTTACTCTCTACTAGTAAGTATATTTAGGATTGCAGCATAAAGTAAGAAGAGCTGCGATCTCATGCACACTTCCCTGGAATTAAAACCCATTGAACTCACTGGACTTACTTCAGAGTAAACACACAAAGGTGTGTGCCTTTATTTAGGTAACGCTATCGAATGGACATCCATTGCATAGCTATCCATTATACATCTAACAGTAGATTTACTAATGCCTGATTTGAAAAGGGATAGGTTCTCCATCAGGTGTCAGAGGGAGAAGAAGGCTATGTAGAGCCTGGATAGAACTGGCTGGGTCTACTTTTGAGCCTGTGAAGAATATGCTGGGTTGCAGTGGACCCAGGAATCTGGAAGGTAAAGGGAGGAGCTAGAAACAGAAATATTTTAGAGATATGTAGTCAGGCAGAATCTGACATGAGGAACATATCAGCAGCATAACAGTTATTGCTGCTACTCTACCACATTTCAGGAAATTCAAGTTCCTTGTGATTTTCCCTGACACCCCGCCCCCTTTTTCGTGAAAACCAGGGCTTCTATTCCAATGCTAGAACCTTTCTTTAGTTTTCCTCAAAGCCTGGAGATCTATTACATGTAGCCACAAATGTGTCACTATTATTTATTCATGAGTGACAAGAGGGATGAATTTGGATGGTGCTCGATTTAGCTCTTTTAATCTCAGGACTTCTTGCTTTACATTGTGCACTGAGTTATGGTTATCGGAGTGCAAAATATATGCAACCTGTATCAGTTGAAAATGGCACAAGGCCATTTCAATCATCAGTTTTCTCAGCAAAATTGATGGAAGCAGGGACCCAATCCTTTCCTTGCCAACGTGTCTGTGCATTTTTTTCTGGGGAAAGCAGCAATTTAAACTCTTGAGCATTATTCTCAGCTGATCCAAGGGAAATGAATTTTTATTCTTTTCAGCTTTGAAAATAGAGATTTCCTGGAAGTCTAAAAGTTCACATGATTGTTTCTTTCTGTTGCGCTCTCTGGTTACACACCAGCTGTGAAAAGGGAAAAGCACTCAAACTGTACACAGCCAGAATATATGGTGCCAGCTTAAAAAAGTCTTTTCAAACAGTACATCATGTTTAGCTGTGCCATAAAGGTTTTATTGGTACACGCCTGTCCTTACAAATGATGGGCCTATAATTCATTAAAGCAGAACATTCCAATAGTGCCAATAAATCTTTATATAACACTTCATAGATGCTTATTGAACATACATCAAGTAATGGCACAAAGGGTATTGATGTGAAGAGTTTTAGATGTGCCTTGATTAATTATGCCCTTTACCCCAGAGGTCTTTTAAAGGGTAGTTCACTATTTGAGATCATCAGCCTGTGACGCAGGACAGGATTTCTGCATATAATTTACTGTAAAAAAATTAGTATCTACCAGTTTCAGTTGCCTGTTATAGGAAATTTTGTTGGCATGTGGGTATCTCACCATTCAACAGGTGAGATTGGCCTGGGATGCCAAACTTGTAAATATCTATTTTATTTAAGGTATTTATACTGTAGTTTTCAATAATGTCTTCAAGTCAGTTTCTGGGAAGGGAAGATGGGATCCAGTAAAAAAATAAATCAAATCAAATAAGCTATTCAAAATAGAACAAATGAACCAAGAAATAGAAGATTTAGTACAGGTCTAGCTGCTGCAGAGTAAGCAAGTAAAAGATTACATAGAAAAATCCTGTATTAATTAATAGCTATCAATCGATGAAGAGAATAAAACTGATTTGACCTGGCACCTAAAAGAGCAGACTAGATGTCAGGTGAATGTCTCTGTGGAGAGTCTTCAGTCAGGGTACCATCACCGAAAAGGCCTATTCAACTACCATGTCCCATCAGCACAATGATTTCTGCTTACACAACATCATACCCTCCAACATTTCTCCAATGAAAATGGAGAGATCCTCATGCTGATGGAACAGGAGACTTAGCACTATGTTGGGTGGACAAGTTCCTATGGGAAGGTGATCATAGAATCATAGAGTTGGAAGGGACCAACTAATCCAACTTCCTCCAATGCAGGAATCCTGCCCACAGCCATACCTGGGTGGGCTTGAACCACCAACCTTCTGGTTAACAGACACACTGACCCCTTGTGCCACTGGGACTCCTCTTTCAGTACTCTTGTTCTCAGGGCATGTAGGGCTCTGTAGATGAAGGCCAGAATGTTGAATTTTGCCCAGAAACAAATTAGGAGGCATTGTAGATTTTCAAAGGTAAAGAAACATGTTCTTTTCTGCATATCACAGTTAGCAATCATATTTGCCTGAGAACTGAGACAAGGGCCTAGCACTTTTGCCTTCCCAATGGCTATTGGGAAATTATCTTTTTAAGGACGCTTTCCTGAAAGAGTGACTCAGCCATTTTACAGTGGTACCTCTAATTATGAACTTAATTCGTTCCAGAGGTCTGTTCTTAACCTGAAACTGTTCTTAACTAGAGGCGTGCTTTCGCTAATGGGGGCGTCTTGCTGCCACCGTGCCGCCGGCACACGATTTCCGTTCTCATCCTGGGGCAAAGTTCTCGACTCGAGGTAACTTTTCCAGGTTAGTGGAGTTTGTAACCTGAGGCGTTTGTAACCTGAGGTGTTTGTAACTCGAAGTACCACTGTATATGGTATTACTGTAGTGAATTTTGTGATCTGATGCTTTTTAAAATCTGTTTTTTATTGCTATGTATACTTCATTTTACTATGTTGTTGATCATTCACGTTGTAGACTGCTTTGGAAATATATGCCGGGAAGCAGCTTACAAATCCTTAAATTAATAAATACATCATCCTAATTATGCCTAAGATGTACTTTCTGTATACAGTGGTACCTCGGGTTAAGTACTTAATTCGTTCCGGAGGTCCGTTCTTAACCTGAAACTGTTCTTAACCTGAAGCACCACTTTAGTTAATGGGGCCTCCTGCTGCCGCCGCGCCGCCAGAGCCCGATTTCTGTTCTTATCCTGAAGCAAAGTTCTTAACCTGAAGCACTATTTCTGGGTTAGCGGAGTGTGTAACTTGAAGCGTATGTAACCTGAAGTGTATGTAACCCGAGGTACCACTGTACTTGTCTTAGCTTCATTTACTATCTTTTTTTGAACAGGACTTTTATACCACTTAATCATTCCTGACCTATGAGTGGATGACATAGAATACAAAAAAGATAACAACCAAAACCCAGCGGCGGAGCAAGCCGATCGGGTGCCTGGGGTGGCGTGTGTGCCCTGCATCCAGGGGTGGGACCAGCCGCCCACGGGGTGGGGCCAGCTGGGGCAGGACACTCTGCAGGGTCTTGGAGGAGTCTGCCTGCCTCCTCCCACTCAGCCACCCTACAGCTGAGGGGAAGGTGGCAGGTGGATCGTTTGGGTAGTGTGGAGCCTGCGGGCGCCCAAGCCACCACGTCACTCCCAGGAGAGATTCGTGGCTCGGGCGTGCTGCAGGCCCTGTGGTGAGTGCCACCCAGCATTTTGTCACCCACCTCAGTGGTGACACCCGGGGCAGTCTGCCTCCGCTGTACACCCCTTCCTCCACCCCTGCAACCAAGACCTTTTCCAAAGGAAGATTTGGGATCAGACAAAAAGGAGAACATTCTAGATGTAAGGCAACCCTAACACTTTCCCCTTGCAAACCATTTGAAAGTGTCATATTTTTAGCCACACATTTTCTTTCGCTCAGCAGAAAACCGGTGTTCCTCCCACAAAAGACAGCACCCCCAGCTAAATCGCTGGCATCAGAAGCAAAGAGACCTGAATCTGGGGTGATGGGAAATGGCAAAAGAGATGGGTCTTAAAGGTTTCTAAGCTTCCCATTCCGCTAAAGCTGGCTGTGATCCTCCCTTTCTTCCTTGACTTTAAAAGCACACGGCTGAGCAATTTACAGGATTCACCAAAGCTCACCTCTTGCTTCCTTATGAAGACTTCTTGAATGAATGCTGTACAAAAAAAGAAAGGAAGGATAACCCAAATAGTTTTGTTTGGCTATTTCCCCCCCACCCAAATGGCTGCTTTCTGTAAGCTGGTGTTCATAATGTATCTTTCTATGCAACGTGAAGCAGCTTCTCACATTATATTTGTTTATATGTGAAAAAAGTAATTTCTGCACATCATGATGAGCTGCAAATGGGGCACAGTATTCAGGTGCAGGAAATCTGAACTACATTTCAGAAAGCTGTAGAAAGTCAGATGTGCATGCAGTGGCAAACACATTATCTTCTCTCATAATATGTGAATGGTGCTGAAAGCCATTTTGCAATAACAATGACGTGTGATTCCCCCCCCCTTTGCACTTCTTGTGTAACATGAGAAATCATGGGTGTCTTGGGTAGAACTACATGATTCTCTCTTACAGTGGTGATACACAAGCCTCTGCTTCCTACGTTATGCAGGAAAGACAGAAATGGAGGGAAAGTGGTTTGTGTGTCCCCTTGTGCATTGCTCAGCCGAAGAGGCCCTTTGGATCAGAACTCGTGCACTTTTCTGGAATACAAAACTGTCTGTGAACATGAAAAAGTCATTTGCAGTTTCATGTAGTAAACAGGCGTTTTGTTAGAAAAGCTGTTCCTGCCAGGGAAACATCAGTTTCTGTGCGCTGTTGGCTGCAAAAAAAAATACAGCACTCCATTTTATACAATGTTTGCTTACAAGCAGGGCTGTGAAAACTGCTGTTTGCTCATCAAAATGAGCCATTTTAGCTGCTGAAAATTAGGTGCACACAGTGCATGAGTGCAAGGAGGGGACAGCGCTCCCCCCCCCGGCTTCTTCTCTGCCCCATGGTTCTTTCCTCCTGCCTCCCTTCACTCTGTACACACAATTTCTTTTTTTCGGTGATGGCTAGGACAGGAAGAGTATGTGCTTCCACTCTGAAATACCTGTGCTGATCTTCAAACTACCTTTAACCCAGCTTACCAGAGGCTTCTTAAGGCCCATGCTTAAGATAATAGAACTTGAATTGATTTTTTTAAGAACCTCCTTTAGCTTGATGTTAATCAGGGTGTTTAAAAAAATCACCAAAGGGTGAATTTTCTTACTCTGTGCATGTAGACATATTTTCCTAAGAAGCGCAGCATGTGGGCCACCTGCTTGGAGGAAGCCCCAAATGCTTGATTGTCTCCCATTGAAGAGCTGCACAATTCACAGTTTTCTTCTCCGTGTTGCAGAAAATCAAAGCAAATGGTGCTCCTAAGGGTTGAAGGTCATTTTTAAGCATTTAATTTATGAGTGCAACAGCCGGAGCTGGAAATGCTGTAGTTTTGGCCTGACTAGGACCACATCTCACAATCTGAGCACCACGGGTAAACTTTTGATTACTGCCTCTGCAAGATGGCTGCTTGCAGTCATGCGGATACAGAAAAGGCAATGCAAGCCAGTCCACAAAGGAAAGCCAGTTCACTCAGACAGCTCACCACGTGTGAACTTGGCAGTCCTATCACAAGAACCATTCCTAAGTAAAAGCAACTTAATGATCCAGTACAGATTTGAAAACAACTATATTCTGAAGCTTATGCAACTATCCACTTAGCACACAGCCTATAGTATTTGGTAACAATACAATTGTGCATTCACTTTTATCTTATATATTATAGCATGGTCTCAGGACTAGCTAGGGGGAAATGGTAGTTACAGTTTGATTCAACGGTAGCATAATATTTAATGAGTGATGGCCATACACTTTGATTTTCAGTGCCAAGCTGCAGGAAAGGATATAATGCACCAAACGATTTTACTAGAATTGCCTTCCAAAGCCATACATACATGCACAGACTTCTTAAACAAGATGGAGTGTGGCTTGCATTTTCACTATGTCAAGAAGCTCAGGGGGGAAAATTACAATGCATTTCACTAGCCTGGGTATGTTTTCAGTTTCTGCTCTTTCACAATTGCTGACTGTGAAGAACTGTAGCAATGGCAAGTCATGGCAGTTGGAACGTAAGATATATATTTGATAGCAGCACATGCAAAGGGTAGGAAAAACTGAGCTGTAAGCTCAAGCCCTATTCAGGTATTCTGCTCAGGTGCAACACCGATAACGTGAGCGGGGAAATAGGAATGAGTGCAGGGTTCAAAATCAGACGGGGTGTGTCAACAGGTAGGAGGAAGCTCCACATTTCAGAACTGTGTCTTCCTTGAGATGGAGGGTGGTGGTGGGGGGGTAGCAACTGAGGTGGGGGGAGCAGAGCTTAGCTCCCTTCATTTTCAGTCTCTCTCTATTTCTATTTCTCTCTCTCTCTTTCTCACTGCGTGTGTGAAGATTTTATAGCTGAGCTGAATACCCCAAAGGGAGTTCCAGGCAATCTCTTAAAACCAAAACAACCACCAAGTATTTTCAACAGAAAATATGCAGATGGACCTTTCAATAGCCATCTTTTATGTATGCATGCATGCATGAAAAACCCCTTCCCCAAAAAAATCACTCTATGAAAAATACCAGTGAAATGCATCATGTTTCGCAGGTGGAAGAACTTACAAAATTCATTTCAAATTTCTTACTTTAGGTACATGAAATATACTCGTAGTTGAGTGTTGATTTCATGCTCTTTATTTCAGCTCATGGTAAACAGTGAGTGAGTGCTTTCCCCTAAAACCTCTGGCTATATATACAGTGGTACCTTGGGTTACAGATGCTTCAGGTTACAGACTCCGCTAACCCAGAAATAGTACCTCAGGTTAAGAACTTTGCTTCAGGATGAGAACAGAAATCGTGTTCCAGCAGCACGGCAGCAGCGGGAGGCCCCATTAGCTAAAGTGGTGCTTCAGGTTAAGAACAGTTTCAGGTTAAGAACGGACCTCCAGAACGAATTAAGTTGTTAACCCGAGGTACCACTGTACATTATTTACGCAATGAGTCCCGTGTGATTGGCTGATTGAACTCCCCTCCTGGAGCCTGATTGGACTGTTCACGCAGGCCAATCAGGTTGCTGATTCACATCCTCCTGGAGCTGGATTGGGTGGCTCCTGCAGACCAATCAGGCTGCTGCCTTCTAGGATCCTACCTGCCTATTGTTCTAGGATCCAAGTTCAGTACATAACAGTACAGATCACAAAAAAGAGGATATGCATCACCAAAAGAAAAAAATGGAACAAAAGGGGGTGCAGGCCTCAAAAAGGACATTTTTCAACCACCCAAAAGCACCCAAGGAACACAAAGCAGAGTCAAAGCAGCCTTGGTAGAGGAGAGAATGGCCTGGTAAGGGGTGTGGTCTATGGAAAGTCCTAAGGGCCAGATATAGAGATCTGGGTGAACCACATTTGTCCTGTGGTTCCAAACCCCAGTTTATCACATTATTTACATGCTGCCCTGGTTCTGTCTGGAATAATGGGAGTGTGGCGGGAGGGGGAGTCCAGGCTCTCTTTCTTTAAGACTGGAGTACTTCAATAAAATGATGTTTACCACTGAGTCAGTTTTAACTAGAATATTGTAGTTGACTGAAGTCCCAATCTGTTCTTTTGCTGAGAGGGCTCCTGGGATTGCTAATGGGACATGGAACACTTCACTTTTGGTACACTGACTAAAATGCAGTGCAGTTTAGTAGAAAGTGAATGTCATTACTGCCTGCTTATAGCTGTGTGGTGGCCTAGATTAAATGAGTTTGGAAGTGCGGACATATTGAAGCCATGTGGCCATGACATACACAATAACAAACTCTTAAACCATTATTGGCATTCTCACCAGAGAACTAAGAGACTAAACATCTCTGGAGAATGAACAGTCTTTTCATAGGGACCTGCCAAATGCCTGTTATCCAGGTTCACACACAAACAAGTTATTTTGAATTTGCAGGCTAGTTCCTGCATCTGAATATTAACCCCACTGGAATGTTAAAAGGACTTTTGAAAGCAAAAATCAAAACCTCATGTATTTCAGGATCTGAAAATAGTATAAACATAATCTAAATGCATATTTGCAAAAGTGTGCAATGCAGTCAAGACTGGTATCTTTTCTTCTCCTGCTCTGGCCAGACTATGAGGGCCCACTTGCACTATACGTTTAAAACAGTATCATCCCACTTTAAGCAATCATAGCTTCCTTCAAAGGATCCTGGTAACTGTGGTTTGTTACAGGTGCTGAGAGTTGTTAGTGTTGGGATACTGCCAGGGAGATGGAGCCATCAGGCAGGCCCCAGTCATCTCCAGACTCCCTTGGAACAGCATCAGTCAATTAGCGACACAAGCCTCAGAGACATTCCAAGACTCATGCACACCCTTTTTGCAGAGTCTCCACAACGAAAGACGCCGACAGGAGAGCATATTTACAGCTTTATTCAATGTAGATCAGCACAAAGGAAAAACATGACTGCTTGCCTCCGTGTCCAGGAAAACAGCCAGAACAAAAGCTATATACAAAACGGAAGTTCCCAGCGAGAGGCTGGAAGTCAACAGGCATGTGATACACAACAATCATGCCTGACCATTTAAGGTGGAACGGAAATATCCTAACAGTTAGGTGACCCCGATTTCCCTCACAGAGCTTCAATTCCCAAAGATCCTGGGAAGAGGGACTGATTATTAAACCACTCTGAGAATTGTAGTTCTGTGAGTGGTTAACTGACCCAAATGATTTTAAATAAATTTCTCCCTGCCTTTAATAAAATAACTGTTTAAATGTCTTCCTTTGGTAAAAGCTTATTTGTTTTGGTTTAACTTTGTCTGCAGTCTTGTTTTTCACCCTACAGCTGAATTATCACACTACCTTCTACCGAGTGTTGGCTGCATACACACCCTACATTTAAAACACATTTAAAGGTTCACGGGAACCATAGTCTGCCTGTCACAGAGCTACAATCCCAAGCACCATTAAACTACAGTTCCCAGAATAATTTGGGAAGATCATGTGCTTTAAATGTAAGGAACGTACAGATAGGGTTTGTTATACCACGCACCTCTTGTGGTGTATGCAACATCTTGTGCTAACACAGCACTCCAAAACAAAAGAACTTATTTTCAAGAGTCATGTTGGAACACCACACATGCAGATGAGCACATCTATATGTACCATTGTGTATAATTGGATGAAGGATAACAGTCCACTATGTTGCACTGTTGTGTGTTTAAAGCCACCCTAAATTCCACTCTAAGTTTTCCTAAGTGCTGAATTTATAACAAATTTTTAAAAATGCTCAGAAAAGACACGTAGGCAATAGAAAGCAAACAACATCCAGCTTACCAGAGTTGCAAGAATATAGTGGTAGCCTATCCCATTTTTTCCAAGCTTGATGATCTGTGGTGGTGAAACACAAAACATTTTATTTAGCAGTATAATTTACTGGTAAAACAAGGAGACTTTCACAATGTCTCTCCTGCTTCTGCAATTATTTTAGTTCAGTTGTACTATAAATGAGAATATTTGCATCATGACTACTGAGAAGCTACTTAAAAAAACACAAACCCATTTCCATATTCAAGCTAGAAGAAACTGTCTGTAATGACACATGGGGTTACAGTTGCTAAGTGATCGGAATAAGCAAGGAAGAAGTTGCAAAATGAGTACAGTTACTATATCCCCAAAATGGGTGCAAACACATAATACATTATCCTCATGCATCACAAATGTTTTAGAAAATTATGCTGCTCTCTATCTCACAAGCAAAGGGCGATGATGATCACTGCTACTGACAGGAGCAGTTTGCTGTCATATCTTCCAGGGCTGGCTTGTGTATTAGACAATGGTAGAGCACACAAAAGGCTGAGGGAGTTTGCCTTTTGCTTTCTCAGCTTTTGCCATAATGTCTCAAATGGGACTTGCAGACTTCACCTGGACTGGCCTCCATGAACTCCTGGGGTTATCGGAGGCCCACAGACCATCTCACAGATGGGGGGAAGAGGTGGAACGCTTACTTCTCGTATGACAGCAGAAGCAAGTGAAAAAAGAAGCACAAACTATGTTTTTGTGAGAGCAGAAGGACAATATGAGAACTGCCTTGAGGTTTCAACAGCAACCAGCTAAGTGTATCAACCTGGCAAACAGGGCGTGGCCACCCCAGATTATTTTTCAGATATTCAGAAGTAGGATGTCTCTGCACATGGAGGTTTCATTTTCCCGCCATGGTTAACATGTCTGACTTCTGTAGCAGTGTGTCATGGTTTAAATAGGGGGTGGGAAACTTTCAGCCCTCATTTCTGTGAGGGGCAAGAGGAAACAGGGTGGAAAGATGATAGAAAGAAGGTGGCAGAAATAGATTAAAAGAGTGACCCTGCCCATTTTGGGCTCTGACCTCACCCACTGGCTCTGGCCCAGCATGTATGCTCCCATCCCCACAACAGATTACTCCTGAGAAAGTGCCACTCTCAGCCGCCACACTATTCAATATTTTTGGGGGTGACTTCTATGATAGTTCTGGGATGATGCTTTATTTTTTCTGAGCCTCCATCAGTGACTTCCCCAACAGAACTAAAGGACTGGCTGAACGGCCTAAGGGCAGAGGTCTTCACCCATAGGCACTAAAAGGCAGAAAGGTACTGAATTGAGTATCCCTGGGTGCAATTAATGCTCAAGGCGTTTCCTTTCTGGTCAGCACCTACAGGCTGCAAGAAGAGCCTATTGCAGGTCTGTAAATGGGATGGAAGGGGACGTGGGTGGCACTGTGGGTTAAACCACAGAGCCTAGGACTTGCTGATCAGAAGGTCAGCAGTTTGAATCCCCGTGACGGGGTGAGTTCCCGCTGCTCGGTCCCAGCTCCTGCCAACCTAGCAGTTCAAAAGCACGTCAAAGTGCAAGTAGATAAATAGGTACCGCTCCGGCGGGAAGGTAAATGGCGTTTCCGTGCGCCGCTTTGCCAGAAGCGGCTTAGTCATGCTGGCCACATGACCCGGAAGCTGTACGCCGGCTCCCTCGGCCAATAAAGCGAGATGAGCGCCGCAACCCCAGAGTCAGCCACGACTGGACCTAATGGTGACGGGTCCCTTTACCTTAAATGGGATGGAAACCCTCACCACTATGCCTTGTTCCAGGGTTACGGGGTTTATAAACATTCTCAGGTTCCCGCTCACCTTAAAGGTTATATTGCGGTTAAATGGGCACAGCAGCATTTAACCGTGGACAATCTGCACTATGTCTGGAGAGCAAAGGTGGCCCCAAGGCAACATGGTGCAACATTATAAGTTTATATATGGCATTCCTCTCTAACAAATGTGTAGTGTTGTCTGTGAATTTCTCTCCCCAGCACCATGACCTTTGCAGGGCTGAATGCAGACAGTTTTACTGTTCTTTGTCACTATAAATGCTGAATGGCTCATAATGCTGTCGGGTTCCTTTGCCAGTAATAGATATCTTTCCATTGCCTTTGCGGAACTGAAGAGACTCTTTCTAAAGGGCAAAGTTAGTTGCACTCTTCCTCATCTGCTTTTATTGACATTGTTTTTCCATCCACTTTCCCCCCATCCCCTACCAGCACAGTATATGCTTGGGCTGAGCTCTTATGGAATTTGCATGAACCAAAACACTGGCAATGCTACCTATTGGGAAATGGAGAGGAGAGCGGCAGGACAGCAACCCTGAGCTATTTCTGTCCATTTCTTCCCACCCACTCCTGCATCTTTATGAACTTTTTAAGCTACAGACAAGAATAGGTACAATACAAATTAAATTCTGGGACCTTCCGATTTCTTTTTAATAGAGCACGTGACCACAGAATGAAAAAGTGCGGATGGGTTTTCAATTAAACATCAATGCCCAGGTGGGATCTGTAGGAATACTCAACAATGTCATAAAGATCCCTGGCATTACAATTATCACCAAATGGATTAGTGGTTATTGGACACTTGTTCATATGTTAACTGGCTCACCTGCCTTAACCTTTTGCAGAAATGCCCTTGAGTATACATTAAAAGCTGTCTGAGTCCTATGCTAATAACCCAGCACCTCAATTAGTGTTATCAGAGCAGACATTTGTTAGCACTTCTGGATACAAATAAGTAAGGCTCCACCACCTTTCACACCAGGCAGATCTCCTGGGTGGGATAATTAAATAATGACTGCAGCAAATGAGTCTGGAACGTCTGCAGATCAGCATGATCTTTCACAAAAGGCTCATTTCAGTTGCATGGATTTCTCCTGAACCCAGGAAGTGGCTTAAGCTTCGTGATATTTTAGGGTACAATTGCCAGGCAGGAAAAGAAAAGGACTGCCTTACAAGCCATCAGTGCAGATTGGAAATAACTAGAACAAAATGAATATGGAATGCGAGGCAGTTGTTTTAAAATTATGTCGTCTGTTTCTCACTGTTTGCAGATGTATGTACAAAAATAAACCCAGAAAACTGCCATCTCATAATATATATTTTATATAAAAAGAATGGGAATAGAGCTCCTGCATACAGGCCCACTTGCTTCAGTGTGTATACAATTACTATCCCCCCCCCTTAATATTTATATGCTGGGTATAAATTCAACTGCCTAGTTCCCTCTCAAGATTGTGGCACTGCGATAAAAAACACACACCTGAGAAACCTTTTTCTTCCATGGATCTCTTAAAAGACACTAACATATATCCAAACAATTAATATATGTTTGGGATGAAGCTATATGTTTCTGTTAGCCTTTTTGGTCAAATAACATGTTGTTCCCCCTGATGCTATTTCCTTTTTCCTTCTGGGTGAGGAAGCTTGGATTGTGGCCTGAAGGGCTGGCTTGGGTGTGTCTTTATTTATTGAAAGAGATAGGAAACAGGTTTAAGTTACACATGTTGTCAATCATCTCTGGCAATCCACCAAATGCAAATCAAACAAAATGCGATGAAAAATGAATTTTTAAAGGACTTCTATCCACCACTGTGTCTTAAAATGTAAGAACCAGATGCAGATACAGGAAAGTTAAACCTACAAGCCTGGAACATGTTGTGAATTTCACCATTCTATGTTTATTTTGTAGTCCAAAGATAAAGGTTTTTTCACCCAGAGAAGGAAACCTGAGTCAAATCCTACTGACTTCCCTTCTGTTATTATGTTTCAGTTGTAAAGTGTATACTGAAGAATTGTGGATCTGTATTTACTACTATTTATCAAATTTCTGGCATCATAGCTGAATATCTCTGGAATGAAAGCATAGCTCCTCAGCAGCATAAATCACAGTTCAGGTTTCAGGCATAAGGCAACAGGTGACTACAAATAAACAGATGGGATGAGCCCAGGGGAACAGTGAGATTAATCTGATAAACACTCTAATCCCAGAATTACAGCACAGCAGCTGTTTTGTCATAGGCAATTTTTCATGCACCAGCGCAAACAAGCTACCTGTATATGGATTTGCAAAAGGTATCCATTTATCTCTGCAGCTATTTCTGCCTTCCCATATACTGGTATGGCCTACTGGGGCCACTTTGTGTGAATACAATTGTGGTGTTTTTACAATTCATATCTGTTGTGTCACATGCAAAATTGACTTAATTGTGACTCTTTACACATTTGGTTGTTTATATCTTACATAGAACAGATGATGATAGTTTCAAACCTGTTGTCTGTTCAGAGGATTGAACCACAACAGTGAAGAAGGGCTTTTCATATCAGAAGTGAAAAATCATTTTCATATTCATGGCATCCCTTGTTGAGGTGTGTCTGTCTCCTTCATTGTGGATTTGCATGAGGAACTTACAAACATTCCTGTTTACCCACACATTTGATGGTTAAAAGACATCCATCCTGATAGCCTTGAGATCTCTGGTTGAGATAATATTTTTAACTTTTTTAAAAAAAAATAATGTGTTTGCCTCTCTGGCCTCCTTTGGCAGGAAGGGAGGAATATAAATTGAAACAATGAATGAAGAAATAAATAATCTTGGGAACGTTGAAGGCAATTTAGAAGAAATAAGGTGATAGCTTCAGGGGTCCACTGAGATATCGCCAGAATAATATTATGGTATGACTGAGAACTAGATGGGAGACCAGGAAATATAGGGCTATTATTATTATTATTATTAATCAGATGGCACATTATTCCATCTTCCTGTTTCATTACCTGTTAATTTCTCCCCTTTTATGTAATCTTTCACACAACATAAAAGTGACTTCTGGAAATTTAGTGGACTCTAGCAGAATTTAAGGTTGCAAAATGTATTGGAGTAAATAGAACTTAATTATTAAGATATCCCTTTTTTTAAAAAGCCATCTTATGGAGAGACTATACCATGTCAAATGTTGCAGTCCTAAAGAGGCCCGCCAAATGGCTTAGAATAAAAGTATTAGCAAATCAACAAAGAAAATCCCATACAAATATCTGCTTATTAAATTCCTTCAAATAAATTTTATTGACTCAGAAAAACATTCAGAGCCTGCTAGTCTGCAGTAGGGGAAAAAACCTATAAAGTGTCTTAAAAGGGTAACATGTTTATTCTGACATAAATGTTTGTGGATTAAAACCCACTTCCCTGTAATAAATAAGGTAGCCTTTTGGGTGCCATAAGACTCCTTGTTGTTTTTTCCTGTCTCAGCAGCACTTAATATTGGAACTCACCTTGCCCAAGATAGCGTTGAGCCGCTCTGATTCACAGTCCACCACCACCACCCGCTCCTTCTTCTTCTCCAGGTTCTGGAACAGTGACTTGTACTCTTCTTCTGTTGTTGTCATTATATTGACAGCTGTCACCTGCCAGTTTTTTTCTGCAGCTGTATCCAACACTTTCTGAAGTACTGACAAACCTGAGATGGGATGAGATTGGGGGGGGGGAGAGAAATAAATTATTTCCCCCCCCAAAAAAAAATTCATACGCCACCTTTTAAGGCAGAACATTTCCAAGGTGACTTATATCAAAACCACCATGCACAGTATATCAAATCTATGAATCCCAGGGTTAGTTCTTCTAAATGGCTTTCCTTGTACAACTGTCAGTGATATTGTGACCATTGTAAATGATTTATTTGGAAGCATAGCCTACCACTACAGTCGTACCTTGATTCTGGGATGCCTTGGCACTCGTACGTTTTGGCTCCTGACAGCCACAAACCCAGAAATGAGTTTGCAAATATTTTTTGGAAGCCGAACATCCAACACTGCTTAAGTGACTTCCGACTGAGTGCAGGAAGCTCCTGCAGCCAATCGGAAGCTGCGCCTTGGTTTTCAAACATTTTTGGAAGTTGAACGGACTTCCGGAACAAATTACATTTGAGAACCAAGGTATGACTGTATATCTATAAGCTTCAGGGCAATTTAATGTGTATCATTTATATATACAGCGTGATTGAAGTTTCAAACATTTATGTGAGAAGATGCCAACTGAGGAGTGTACAGGTTCCGTTCTTCCCCACTGCAGGGTTGTGGCCATGGGCAAGGCTCAATACATGACTGAAAGGAACTGACCTTAAATTCTAAAGACAGATGGACTCTTTAGCATACCAGACCCACAAACCAACACTAAAGAATGCAGAGAATTTTACTTAACTGATAAAGTGAGTCAAGTTAACTCCATTAATATAGAAACAGAATTGTGAGGGGTTCTGTAAGCATACTATATTCGGTTGGGAGCCGCCCAGAGTGGCTGGGGAAACCCAGCCAGATGGGTGGGGTATTAATAATAATAATAATAATAATAATATCTGATAAAGTGTGGCCTCCCTGTTGTGAGAACCCCTCAAGTTTTCATTCTGAGGGAATTACAGGCCTTAAAAAAAAAGCCCCACTTATATACTGAAGGGAAAGCAATGACTCATGTCACATACTTTTCAGCAAACCTGTAAGATAGGCTAGTATTGTTGTTCCCATACTGCAGGTTTGGAGAGGACTGATGCTGAAGCCATTTCATGGTGACTTGCCTAACTCAGGCTAGTAAAGATGCTTAGTGAGCTGCCAATATTCTGCTCCCAGAGATGGGCCTCCCCACCCAACTGCCACCAGTGGTTCTTGCCCTGAAGGGATGGGAGAAGATGCTGAAATGGGCTTTTAAAAAGGTATTATTATTATTATTATTATTATTATTATTATTTGCCCCATTTGTATTTTCTATTTTATTGTATAATAGGGTTGCTTCGCAAGACGAAAAAACCGCTAGACGAAGATACTCGCGGAACGGATTAATTTCGTCTTGCGAGGCACCACTGTATAATGCTTTGTGAAGTGAAAATTGGTTAAAAAAGGAAGAAATCACTAAAATAATTACACAAACAAGTACAATTATGGGGGAAATGAAATTTGATCCGATGGCCTTGGTACATTCTATGACTAACAAGGAGTCTTCTTCCCTACTCCCCCTCCTTCACCAATCCTGCTGTGTGTCACTCTTCACTCAGACTCACCCCGGTCAGCGTCATAAATATACATAAATTTCTGGCACTTGTAATATTCTATAACACTGATGAGGGCATCCTGTAGTTCTGGGCGCAGCTGAAGAACAAATTGATTGGATGTGTCGACAGGGAAGCTGGGTGTTACAAAGCAGACGTGGAGTGCCCCACAGAAGGATGTGAGCATGTTGACAGTCCTCCTCTCATAAAAGCCAAAGATAGCGTAGACACCCTTGGAAAACTGTGAACAGACTGAGAAGGGGGGGGGGAGGGGGTAGAAGTCAGTCAGAGAGGCAGCAAAAAGATTAGACTCATTTTCATTTTATCTTTGCAAGTATATGTATGATTCAAAACTACTCCACATCTCACTGAATGAAAGCCTCAAGGTCTGAGTAATCAAGAAAGTGTAGCCTATTCAGGAATTATTCTGGTTTAGAAATATGCAGGGAGGCTTCCCACTACAGACAGTCACCTTCCAACTTGAAGACAACCGACTATTTGATGGACACGCCCCCCCCGCCATGCAATATGCAGTATGTGCAATCCATTGCACATGGTTTCCTTCACCAAAAACACATGGAGCACTGTGGAATGACACTTTCAATTCGTTACTTAGAACTGGATGGAAGCTATATCTTACATAGAGGCAGAACCTCACTCGGGGAGGGGAGGGTGGTAGTGAGTTTTATTTGTTGTTATTATGTAATTCTGTTTTAAGTGTGAAACCAACAAAACATGTTAAACAAAAAACAGCATGGAGGAACAAAGAGATGGAAGTCTGCTCTGGATCTGAACTCATCAGAGATCATGAGTGTGCATTTGTTGATTTCTTGCTGGCCCATTGACTAATAGAAGATAACTTCTGTCCATTCTATATGATTTATTTTGGAAACAGCAGGTCTGTGCTCTCATGTGAGATTAAAAGGCCTGGAGTGATGGTTTCTCAATTACTTAACAAAGGAACTTAGATTTAAAAAGCAGGGGCAGGATTCCCCTAATGAACCACATCAGTGTAAGCCCTATGCAAGCAGACTAACCCCCCCCAAAAAATGGTTCATGGGTTGGTAGGGGTCAGGAGAACCCCCAAACTGTGTGCAGGGAAGTGGGAGGAGAGAGATTTCTATCTGGAAAGATTGAATTCCTGCACATGTGGAATATTTGTCATAGTGTGTGCTGAATTCCACTCGATAGAAATAAGGTTTCAGTTGCATTCAACACACTCACTCAAGCAAAGGGAAAAAAGGGTGGTGTTATGAGTTGCCTGACTCTAGCATCCTGTGACATATAACACATAGGGACTGGGTAAAAATGGCTCTAAGAAGTCAACATAATAAACATTTATGAAAGCAACATGTTTTTGACAGCCAGTGGAAACTTACAGTTCACTGAGAAGAGGTGTTAGATTATCATAGCAACAAACTGTACAGATCTATGCGAGCACTTTTTTCTTTCATGGAGAATTAGTATTTATCAAAACCTCTAAGTTAGGACTGGAATCCTGTCTATTCACATTAAAGTCTCATATTTCAAAACCTGAATTTTGCTTTAAAAAGTTCATGATAAAATCAACATTCGGCCATCCAATAAAGCTCTAAAATGTCAGTTTATCCTACTACTTTGCAGAGGCTTCCTTAATAGTCTGTGTGTTTGAAGCTGATTTATCTTTAAGGACATGTGAGTAAATGAAACAGACTTCACTTTTCCAGGCCAAGAAATACTGAATTCTCAACTCATTGAAGAATACTGGGCTAGATAGCCTTTGGTCTCATTCAAAATTCTAATGTTTTTATGGAAAAAACATAAAGGAAGCATTGAAAAGCTGAAAGAAGAGTTATTACCATTAATGTTACCTCAGACAGTAAACTGGGTTTTTATTAATCAGTCATATATATATAACACCTTACCACACGACAACACAATACAGTGGTACCTCAGGTTTAGTACTTAATTCATTCCGGAGGTCTGTTCTTAACCTGAAACTGTTCTTAACCTGAAGCACCACTTTAGCTAATGGGGCTTCCTGCTGCTGCTGCGCTGCCGCCACACGATTTCTGTTTTCATCCTGAAGCAAAGTTCTTAACCTGAAGCACTATTTCTGGGTTAGCGGAGTGTGTAACCTGAAGCGTATGTAACCTGAGGTACCACTGTATATTTAAAGAACATAGCATAAAAGGAGCCCTGGTAGATCAGAAGCCAGTCAGTCTATAGGAAGCCCATAAAGAGGGTTCACCAACCGCAGCATTGGTATGCAGAGGCATATTGCCTCTGGACAGTATTCAGCTACAGAGTCCCTTCCTCACAAGGATTTCTGCTCGTACAACTGGATTTTCCTCTTCTCCTGTCCCTATATGTGCCTCATGCTTTCCAAACCGAGGAATCCCTAGAGCAGATTCGTTTATTTATTAAATTTCTCTCTTGCTCTATATTGCCCGAGGCAACTCAAAGCGACTTAACAACCAAGCAAATAGACAATAAACCCCATATACTGTAGATACATTTAAAACAAAGAGGAAAGAGCAATACATTAAAAACATTCACCCACAGAGAGGATATGCAGGGGAGACATAGGGGGAAGCATTCCATTATGGAAGGAAAACTCCCTCCCTCAGATACTGGAGGTTATATAGCCATCATGACTGGTAGCCATTGGCTGACATTCTCCATTAATTTGTTATTTCCATTGCACTTTGTAAGCCAATGATCTAGGTTTACTAAGAGCTATATATTAATCTAATTCAGAGCCATGGAGCAATTCAAATGACACCAACTGGGCCATGTAGGCTAAAATCACACAATCAGTTTCCAGATATAACGTATAACTGATTGCATGACTTGTGCTACACCCATCAGCTTTTATCCGTCCAAACTGTAATTCGAATATGCCATCCCTGCCCCTGAAATTTGGTAAAAAAAAAATCACTTGTTATTCAGACAACCAAGTCTGACTGGGAGTGAGTGAACACTCACACTGTGATAGTTTGGTCATATATTTTTGGCTGTGTGTAAGAATGCAGAATGGCTGAAAACAGGCATTTTTACATAACTGAAACCAAGGTTTCAAAATGTTAGATAGGCCTAGCTTTCTTTGAATATAACTTCAGTATTTCCCATTGCTGCTATGCAGGACGTGGTCTCTTGTCAATCATCTCCTCAGGAGAGTACTTGAAAGAGACCATGGGAGTGCTTGAAGGCTGATAGCTACAAATTTTCTGGGGGGAAAGTGCATGGTGGGGGACAGCAGCATATCTTGAGTGGTAAACCTCAGGCTTATATACTGTCAAGCTCATTTAACTTCACTCATGTTTATGGTACATTCCAATTATTCTAAATCAAATTCTTAGGTGCTAGCGCTGAGAGCCTTTCCTCCTCTGACCAAGCCCTTGGCTTTAACATTAGCGGTGGACATGTCTGGGAAATTGGGGGGGGGGACTGAATTAGTTCTCCTTGATCTAACATCCAGACTTACATTCACCTGTGTGAAGAATACTATCAAACAAAGGGGTTTGGTCTTATACAAAGCCTACTTTGATGCCTTGCTCATTCTGCTTGGGTTTTTGTCACTAGCTAGGTGGTTAATTTAGTTTACTAATTCCAAATGGACCTCCTTTTTTGTATGTATGTGTTTGTATGTGTATTTACACACACATCTTCTAGAGCTGGCCAAAGTATAGCTATGGGGAATTATATTCTTCCACCCCAATTGAAAGAAATGTAAGAAGTGAAGACGTAATAACTCTGGTCTATTTTAGGAATTCTGAAGAGGAAACCTGAAGAAGGTGTCTAAAAACACACCATGAAACAAGTTGCCATGCATATTAAGCGCCATCAGCTAACAGAGCTCGTGGTATGGGAATATAGAAGAGGGAAAGTAAGTAATAGTTTCCAGTCTTACAATGATCTGAATTGTTGTAAGATTTCTGGCCTGAAAATTATCCTGCCCCTCAATCAAAACCATACTGGCAGGGATCAATTTCACACCTCTTCAAGCAACTGTCCCGTATATTCTTCAAGAACTAACACGAGTAGACTAATACTGCATTTCTTCAAGGATAACTTCTGGCTGCAAATATCTGGCTGCAAATATACTCATGGACCCCCAGCCAAAAAAATACCAGCATAATTCAAATGGGAGAGAGAGCATAGGTCAGTGACGCAGCATACATTTCACACACAGAAGGCTACAGATTCAGTCCCTAGCACCAAGGAGCAGAGACTGTAAGAGACCTCCACTGACTGAGACCATGGACAGCTCCTGCAAGACAAGAGCAGATAATGCTGAGATAAGCAGCCCATCTGACCTGGAATAAGGCAGTTTCCTATCTTTCTTATTCCTAGCTCCTTGGTTTCCTGTGCACATTCAGGCTTCATGTCTTCTAATTAACAAGTTAACTTGACTGGGTATCTCCCTCACAGCAAATATAGAAAAGTTATTGGGGCAAATACAAAATAATAATCCGCTAAAAAACAACTCCTCAACAGACTATACTCCTGAGCCATCACCATGACACTTTCCAAGACAGTGTTCCCAATTTTTTCAGAGTGTGCAAAAGGGACTGTTGCATATATTTAATGGAG